ACTGGCATAGACACTTTAGTAGGTCAGGCTGATTTCCACCTGCATTATTCCCATGGCAAGAAGTTTAGGATTTGAGAGTCTTGGGAGGAAGGTGTTTGTTTTGTTTTGTGTAAAAACACAATGCCAAATCCCTCCCCTTGAGATAGAATATTAGTTGCTAGCTTCACCATAGTCAAAAGGGTATTACTAAAATTCAAGGTTTGGGAAAAACTGGGGGAGGATAAGAACACCAGTTTTTACTGCTGGTTTTGGCAAGCAGTGGTAAACTAGGTGAAGATTTGGATGAATTAACATATCTCATTCCAGATCAGCCTGGATTTTTCTCTTTCTCTGTGTTCTGGTGTGTTTGCCACTCAGATTTTATCGCCAAGATACCTATAGTATATACAATGTGCTGTTTCCAGGCTTGTACAAGATAGTAGCCCGGCTGCCAGGATGTCTGGAGAACTGTAGGGGTGGGGTGAGATCAAGTCTCCAGCTACAAGGTGTCCCTTGGGGCTAAGTGAAAGCTTGCTCTTTTGAAATGGTCTCAGTTGGTAATTAACAACATATCAAGAATACTTCGGTGTCAAATAAAGAGGATTTGTAGGCACAGTGCTGTTGGTAGCTGTTGGTATCTTATTCAAGAAAGCTGTTAACTCTGTGAACGTTAGCATTCAGTCAGGTAATGAGGTCTAGTCCTTGGCACCTCCCAGATACAGACTCTTTCAGATTTGGACCTCTCTCTGTTCTGGCTTCCGCCACCCTGCTGCCATTCTGTCCTTGAAATCAATGAATAGTAATTTGGTGTATCACTAGCAAATGTCTGAATAATAGAGGGTTGGTTTTGTTGTGCCTCCTGTTACAATGAAACTGTGCACTGCATATATTTAATCGGCTTCATCAATGTGTAAGGCTTTTTTTTTTTTTTTGGCAGAGATGGATAAGCTTGTGAATAATCTGCAGAGGGGTAGTATTTTGGGTATATGGCAGTGCTTCTCATTAGCTGTTGCTCGAATACAATCAGACAGAATCTACTCGTTTAGAATATTGGTTCATGACAACAGTGGCTTGAACAAAGTGACCAGTCTCGAATGGCTGCGCGCTCTCAGGGCTGCAGGTTGCTAGGGCTCAGGCTGTCCGCCCAAAAGGGGCGGGGTGAGTTGATGTGTTAGAAAAAAAAAAAAATGTAGTCTGCCTCTCCACAGAGGTAATGATTCGTGGAAAGAAATGCCGTTGAGCCGTAGGAAGGTGAGGATAGGTTGGAGTTTATTTTATTTTATTTTATTTTTTAATTTTTTTCTTCCCAATGCTGCGACGCATTAACCCTGCTGCTGTTGGGACGTTCTCTGCTCAGCCTATTGGCTGAGCCCAGGAGCCGCTGTCTGCCAATCGCGTGATGAAAGGCAGACAAATCTACCCCGCCACCAGCAAAAAACGGCGCGTAACCCTTGCGGCGCCGGCCCAGCCGCGCCAGAGCTGGCGCGGGGAAAGGGAGATAGGTGTCTCCAGCTGCTGTGGCTGTTTGGGGCGGGTCGGCTTCTTCTGCTTCTCAGGACCAAATAAAGAATTAGCGGGCTGCAGCAATGCTCCGCGAGGTGAGAAGCTGGGTAGAGATCTGGCGGGGGGCTACCCTTTTGTTCCTCTTTTGCCACCTGGGTTACGTTTGTGGGCAGATCCGCTACCCGGTCCCAGAGGAGTCACAGGAAGGGACTTTTGTAGGGAATGTGGCCCAAGATTTCCTGCTGGATACAGAGAGTCTGTCAGCTCGAAGGCTGCAGGTCGCTGGAGAGGTGAACCAAAGACACTTCCGTGTGGATTTGGACAGTGGAGCCCTGCTCATCAAGAATCCAATCGATCGAGAGGCACTGTGTGGGCTCAGTGCCAGCTGTATCGTGCCCCTGGAGTTTGTAACCGAAGGGCCTTTGGAAATGTACCGAGCCGAGGTAGAGATCGTAGATGTGAATGATCACGCCCCCCGATTTCCGCGGCAGCAGCTGGACTTGGAAATCGGAGAGGCAGCTCCTCCAGGACAGCGTTTCCCCTTGGAAAAGGCTCAGGATGCAGATGTGGGGAGCAACTCCATCAGCAGCTATAGACTGAGCTCCAATGAACACTTTGCTCTGGATGTCAAGAAGCGCAGCGACGGCAGCCTTGTCCCAGAGTTGCTCCTGGAGAAGCCGTTGGATCGGGAGAAGCAATCGGACTACCGCCTGGTGCTAACTGCTGTGGATGGAGGGAACCCCCCGAGATCTGGCACTGCAGAACTCCGGGTATCAGTGCTGGACGTAAACGACAACGCCCCAGCCTTCCAGCAATCTAGCTACAGGATTAGTGTGTTGGAGAGCGCGCCAGCGGGAATGGTGCTCATACAGCTCAATGCCTCTGACCCGGACCTGGGTCCTAGCGGTAACGTCACCTTTTCTTTCAGTGGTCACACTCCTGACCGTGTGAGAAACCTCTTCAGCCTGCATCCTACTACTGGAAAGCTTACCCTTCAGGGGCCCCTAGATTTTGAGAGTGAGAATTACTATGAATTTGATGTGCGGGCTCGTGATGGGGGTTCTCCAGCTATGGAGCAACATTGCAGCCTTCGGGTGGATCTACTGGATGTAAATGACAACGCGCCCCACATCACTGTGACCTCAGAGCTGGGAACTCTCCCAGAGAGTGCAGAACCTGGCACCGTGGTGGCACTTATCAGTGTGCAGGACCCCGACTCTGGGTCAAATGGAGATGTGAGCCTTCGTATTCCTGACCATTTGCCATTTGCCCTCAAGTCTGCCTTCAGGAACCAATTTTCTCTGGTGACTGCTGGGCCCTTGGATCGAGAGGCCAAATCCAGTTATGACATCATGGTCACTGCTTCTGATGCTGGGAACCCTCCTCTGAGTACCCACAGGACTATTTTCCTCAATATTTCAGATGTGAATGATAACCCACCCTCTTTCTTCCAGAGGTCACATGAGGTGTTTGTTCCTGAGAACAATCGCCCAGGGGACCTGCTTTGCTCCCTTGCAGCCTCTGACCCTGACTCTGGCTTGAATGCACTTATCTCTTACTCTCTCTTAGAGCCCAGAAATCGAGACGTGTCAGCATCCTCATTCATCTCTCTGAACCCCCAGACAGGAGCTGTTCATGCTACTCGATCATTTGACTATGAGCAAACACAGACTCTGCAGTTTGAGGTACAGGCCCGGGACAGGGGCAACCCACCCCTTAGCAGCACTGTGACAGTTCGTCTATTTGTGCTGGACCTCAATGACAATGCCCCAGCTGTGCTCCGCCCTAGGGCCAGGCCTGGTTCCTTATGTCCCCAAGCACTGCCTCCATCAGTTGGTGCTGGCCACCTAGTCACAAAGGTGACTGCTGTGGACTTGGATTCAGGTTACAATGCTTGGGTTTCCTACCAGCTCCTGGAAGCCCCAGATCCCAGCCTATTTGCAGTGTCTCGGTATGCCGGGGAGGTGCGGACAGCTGTTCCCATCCCAGCTGATCTCCCACCACAGAAGCTGGTCATTGTGGTGAAGGATAGTGGTAGCCCACCACTCTCTACCTCTGTTACCCTCCTAGTGTCCTTAGAGGAAGATACTCATCCAATTGTCCCTGATCTTCGAGAATCTTCAGCTCCCAGGGAAGGAGAATCCCGTCTGACCCTATACTTGGCTGTGTCTCTCGTGGCAATTTGCTTCGTCTCCTTTGGATCATTCGTGGCATTACTCTCCAAGTGTCTTCGTGGAGCTGCCTGTGGAGTGACATGCTTTCCTGCTGGCACCTGTGCCTGTCTCACCAGATCTCGGAGGAGGGAGGGGCTTCCTCCTTCCAATGGGATCCTCCGAATCCAGCTAGGGTCAGATGATCCTATCAAGTTTGTTGATGTGGGAGGCCACTCCCACGGCTGTACACCCTTGGCTTCTGCACCCACTCGGAGTGATAGCTTCATGATGGTGAAGTCACCCAGTGCACCTATGGCAGGGGAGCCTGTTCGCCCAAGCTGTCCACCCTCTGATCTTCTCTATGGGCTAGAGGTGAGACCTTTGCAGGATCCGCCAGTGACTGAGTGTTATTCTGATCCAGGCAAATGGCTGGGCCATGTCCCAGACAGTATTGGCCTCCTTGTAAGAGCCCATAGTGGTGTCACTGTTTTTGTGAGTAGTAACTATGTGATAAATGCTGTGTTTTAAAAGTTTTGTGAATTAACCAGAAAGTTGTAACAGATTACAACTGGGAGTGGGTTGTGCCCATTTTGGAGAGTAAGGAATGAAAGTAATTGATGGTCAAGAACCAGGTAGACGTGGAAGCACGCTGGTAGAATGTGGAGGCATAGAAAGCTGGAGTGCACAGAGGTGGGACATACCAGGCAATCACCTAAACCCAGGGCTGTTTTCTCTGCTCTTCCTCAATGAGGCAATCAGTTTCTGGGGAACCTTAACTCTGGATTACACTTTCCCATTGGGTTGAGGAGGAACTGAAATCTGCCTCATAGAATTGAGTACTCCCTAACCCTCTGTGAACAGATGTCTCTATTTGAAACACAACAGAAAACAAAAAATAGTCGAGAGCCAAGGGAGTTGAGAGGTACAAATAAAGGTAAGAGTAGAAGTCTTGTGGCCCAGGTCTTCATGACTTCTGGTCAAATCCCTACTGGGATTTGAACTAGATGTGGTAGATTGGAAGCAGGGGGACATTCATTACCTCTTTGGGGAAAAAGCAGTAAATTAAATCATAATGTCAGAAAACTGATTTGCAGCTGAGGAACTCAGAGACATGTACACTCTGGCAGTCTTTAAGTATAGCTTTCCTGAATTTGGTGAAACCGTAAAGCTTAGAGCCCATCCCTGGCCTCTCCCATCCTCCTAGGTATAGCTGTGACACTCTTTCCATATCCTGAGTCAGGGATCTCAGAAAAGCTAGGTCCTGTAGTCATCAGCAGACGTTGAGATTTTCCTCAAATCATTGCTTGAGTCTCAGGGCAACACTTTAGAGGGTCCTAACAAATCTTTTCTCTTACCCTAGCAGCATCTGGAAGGATGGGGGAGGGGAGGGAGGAAGCACATGGGCTTTGCCTCTCTCAGAAGGACAAAGTTTTGTTGGTTCAAGCAAAGTAGTGGAAGTTTCTGAAGTCATGCAGGAAGTTGCTGGGACAGAACACTGAGGAGCTTTGCATCACTTTGTCTTCCCTGTTGAGCACCATCTGAGCTGTCAAACTTTGCTGCCAAGGGGGCTGAATCAACTTGCAGCACGAAATGAGTGGGGAGGTAGCGAGCTTCTGTGACACAGATTTGCAATGCCTGTTCCCAAGGTTTCCTGGGCTGAGGAGACTTTGTAATTGGTTAAGAGCAGACAGACTTTTTGGCCAATCAAACTCAGAGCCGAGGTGGGGGATCTGCTTTTCCTACCCGCCTCTTCTCCTCCAGCTCCCCAGCTCCACTCACATTTAACTCCCCTTCCCCCTACCCACCCCCGCCATTTGGTGACTAAGAACTGCTGCAGGCAGGCAAACCTCGGAGCAGGTTTTAAGAGGCTGGAAGGAGCCATAAGAGATTTCAGCTGCTGCATTCCAAGCCCTGGATCTACCTTGGAGACAGGACAGCACAGAGTTACTCTCCAGGAAGGGACTTCTGGGTCATGGGGCTCAAGACACCCCCACAGCTCCCTGGGAAATGGCAAGTGCTGTGCATGTTGTCCTTGTGCTGCTGGGGCTGGGTGTCTGGGCAGCTTCGCTACACAGTGGTGGAAGAGTCTGAGCCGGGGACGCTGGTGGGGAATGTTGCTCAGGATCTGGGCTTAAAGGTGACAGATCTGCTGAGCCGCCATCTGAGGTTGGGCTCTGAGGAGAATGGGCGTTATTTTTCCCTGAGCTTAATGAGTGGTGCTCTGGCAGTGAATCAAAAGATTGACCGAGAGAGCCTTTGTGGAGCCAGCACCAGCTGCCTGCTGCCAGTGCAGGTGGTGACTGAACACCCTCTGGAGCTCATTCGTGTTGAGGTAGAGATCCTGGATCTCAATGACAACTCTCCAAGCTTTGCCACTTCTGAGCGAGATATGCGCATCTCAGAATCAGCAGCACCTGGGGCAAGATTCCCACTGGATAGTGCCCAGGATCCAGATGTGGGCACCAATACTGTGAGTTTTTACACTCTAAGCCCCAGCAACCACTTTTCTTTGAATGTGAAAACCCTAAAAGATGGGAAGCTATTCCCAGAGCTGGTGCTAGAGCAGCAGCTGGATCGTGAAACTCAGGCAAAACATCAGCTGGTGCTCACTGCTATGGATGGGGGTACCCCAGCCCGCTCAGGAACCAGCCTTATCTCCATCATCGTGTTGGACATCAACGATAATTCTCCAACTTTCCAGTCCTCAGTTCTACGTGTGGGACTCCCGGAAAATGCACCCATAGGCACACTGCTGCTCCACCTCAATGCCACTGATCCAGACGAGGGCACCAATGGCCAACTTGACTATTCTTTTGGAGACCATACATCTGAGGCAGTGAGGAATCTCTTTGGCTTGGACCCTAGCAGTGGAGCAATCCATGTGTTGGGTCTGATAGACTTTGAAGAGTCCAGTTTCTATGAAATTCATGCAAGAGCCAGAGATCAAGGACAGCCAGCCATGGAGGGCCACTGTGTGATTCAAGTGGACATAGGGGATGCCAATGACAATGCTCCTGAGGTGCTACTGGCCTCTTTAGTCAACCCTGTTCTGGAGAGCACACCAGTAGGCACAGTAGTGGGGTTGTTTAACGTGCGGGACCGAGACTCAGGCAGAAATAGTGAGGTGAGCCTGCTTATCTTGCCAGAACGGCCATTTCAAATCAAGCCTTCTGAGAACCACTACTCACTGCTAACCAGCCAGCCCTTGGACCGAGAGGCCACATCCCACTATATCATTGAGCTGCTGGCCAGCGACGCTGGCTCCCCTCCCCTGCACACATCTCTCACCATCAGGCTCAACATTTCAGATGTTAACGACAACGCACCCCACTTCACCCAGCAGCTCTACACTGCTTACATCCCAGAAAACCGGCCTCCAGGCTCCCTTCTTTGCACTGTGGCTGCCTCAGATCCAGACGCTGGGGATAATGCCCACCTCACCTACTCTATTGTGGGGAGTCAAATTCAGGGGGCCCCAGCCTCCTCCTTTGTGTATGTCAACCCCAAGGATGGAAGGGTGTTTGCCCAGCGTACTTTTGACTATGAGTTGCTGCAGATGCTGCAGATTGTGGTGGGCGTTCAAGACTCTGGCTCTCCCCCGCTATACGCTAACACTTCTCTACATGTGTTTGTCCTTGACCAGAATGATAACGCCCCAGCTGTGCTGCACCCACGGCCAGGCAGGGAATTCTCAACCCCTCAGCGTCTCCCTCGCTCTGCTCCACCTGGCTCTTTGGTCACCAAGGTGACAGCCGTGGATGCCGATGCAGGCCACAATGCATGGCTTTCTTATTCCCTTTTGCCACAGTCTACAGCCCCAGGACTGTTTCTCGTGTCTGCACACACTGGTGAGGTGCGCACAGCCCGGGGCTTACTGGAGGATGACTCTGACACCCAGCAGGTGGTGGTCCTGGTGAGGGACAATGGTGACCCTTCACTGTCCTCTACAGCCACAGTGCTGCTTGTTCTGGAGGATGAGGACCCTGAAGAAACGCCCAAATCCAGCGACTTCCTCACGCACCCTCCGACGCGGTCAGGCCTTACTCTTTACCTCATTGTGGCTCTAGCAACCATCAGTCTCTTATCCTTAGTCACCTTCACCTTTCTGTCAGCTAAGTGTCTTCGGGGACGCGCAGATGGGGACGGGGGCGGGGGCCGGTGCTGCAGGCGCCAGGAGTCCCCTTCCCGGGAATTCTATAAGCAGTCCAGCCCCAACCTGCAGGTGAGCTCTGACGGCACGCTCAAGTACATGGAGGTGACGCTGCGGCCCACGGACTCTCAGAGCCATTGCTACAGGACGTGCTTTTCCCCGGCCTCCGATGGCAGTGACTTCACTTTCCTCAGGCCTCTCAGCGTACAGCAGCCCTCGGCTCTGGCGCTGGAGCCTGAGGTCTTTCGTTCCCGCGCGAATACGCTGCGGGAGCGGGAGCGGAGCCAGGTGAGGACTCAGCACCGCCCAGGGCGTCCCCTGGGGGCGGCGTTGGAGAAGCCACCGGTGCACCTAAGGGACCTGGACCTTGCATCCTGCCTCTCAGGCTGGCTCGGCTCCTGGTTGCGCTCCGCCCGATGCACGGGATCATTTGGACTGATTGAGCGGAATCAGAGGAGTGCGGGCGGGCTAGGGTCTTGGGCACTGGGAGGTGGTGGTAATAACGGGGCGGGCGAGGAGAGGTGGGACCCACCCCTGCTCCCGCCCTTGCACTCAGAAAAGGAAAGGGCTCCCTTGAGCGTCCAGTGAATTTTTAGCGAGTTCCTCGAGGTCCTGGGTGGAGGCCTTCAAAGTTCCAAAGTTCCCCCTGCCAGCCTCCTAGGCGCCTGCTTCAGCACGCTCCGCTGGTCCTTAGGTCTAGTTTCTGTTCGGTTCCTCGCCACTCCCACGATCTGTGACTTCTCTGTCACCGGAAACCTTCCCCATCCCCACTCCACCCAACTGCCTCTGTCAACAGCTCCTACAGGGGTGGGAGGCTGGTGGCGCGCTGCTCCCTGCGAGCCACACCCAGGACCCCAAACTTCGCACCTGGACGCTTCAGCTGCACGTGCGCCAACACATAGGCACACCAGGGCCGCTGCCAGGGTCACGAGGCTGTCCCCGGCCCACTCACAGCTCCCCTCGGGCGGTGACAGAGGCTTTCGTGGTTGACTGTGACGCCCAGGTGACGGTGGAAGGTCCGGGTAGCCCAGGGTGTGGTGAGGACGTTGCAGCCTCCTCCCAACCTTCCCGCTCACACCCAGGGCAGGGGCCATCCCCTCGGAGCTGGCCTGAGTCTTCATGGGCTCCTGAAACACAAAAGTGACTCTGGGTCCTCTTGATGCAGGGTGAGCGGGATTATGTGACCCACGGACCAGTGGTGCTTCTGGGCCTGGGGTTCAGCACTGAGGGCAGAGGTCCAATAGCCCAGAAGCCTTGGCTAGGCAGGCAGGTGGGCTGAGGGTTGGCCCAGGGTATGGGGTGGGAGGTCGGGGCAGAGGTAGGCACTCTGACCTTTATAGAAAGTGAACTCCTTCCCCCCACAGGAAGTGGGTGCTCCAGGCTCTGGATGCTCAGAAATAGGCTTTTGGCTCCTTATGACCACAATATGCTCACCCATCTGGGGTCAGGGCTTTGGGTGTAACCAAAGTATCAGACGGTAGGAGGTAACCCCAGCACTCTGGGAGGCCAAGGCAGGAAGGTCAGCAGTTTTTGGCCAGCCTGGGTATCTTAGTGAGATCCTGTCTCAAAATTAAAAACACACACAAAAAAGTCTGGGGACTAGCCCAGTGCGAAGACCCTGTGTTCAAACCTTAGTACCTCAAAACAAAAAAAGTATCTGAGATTGCTGGCAAGGCCTTCCTGTTGAGGCATATGGAAAGCCATAGCCTCTGCCGGATGCCAGGAGTACCCTTGTATATGGGAAAATAATAGTAAAAAGCACAAGCTTCCACAGCCCTAGGAGCTTTTACACAAAAAAATATCTGTACTCCACCCTGCCCCCTACTGAATCAGGATTACTTTGAAACAGCATTGAATGAGAGATCCTTCCTCCATACACCTTCCTGGAGAATCAAAACATCTTATTTGATCTTCCCACCACCATTGCTGGATAGGTACTAACATCCCCCTCTTATAAATGAAATTCATGGAGGTCAAGTGATTGTTCAAGTTCAGAGTGATAGACTCTAACCCAGGCCTAACTTCAGAGTGAGTGCTTTGAATGGCTTGGCACTTGGATCTTGTAAAACTGGACAAGAGACAGTTGGCATCCGCTGGGAAGAGGTAAAGGTGGGGTTCTTTCCCTTTAGGACCTTACCTGTGGAGGAAATTCCTTGGCGCTCCTATCTTCAGGATGAGCCTGTCATCCATGGTCCTATCCTCCCCTGATGATCCCTGTCCCCTTGTAGATTCAGCTGAGTTTAAGAATACAATGGCTAGGGCAGGGGATTTAGCTCAGTGGTTCTGCACCTGCCTCATAAGCACAAGGTCCCGAGTTCAATCCGGTACCAAAACAAAACAAACAAGAATACAATGGCTGGGGCTGGTACCAAGAAAAAAAAAAAACGTACAATGGCAAAGGACTGGGCGCCCCTCCTCCCTTCTTTAGGCCAGTCCCAGAGTGATACTCATGGCTCCATTTGCACTTTTGGGGTTTTTTTTTGGGGGGGGTACCTGGATCAAACTTGGGACCTTGCGCTTGCGAGGCGGGCTGCAGCACCACCGAGCTAGATCCCCAGCCTTCCGTTTGCACTTGGGATGTTAGGTTGCTGTCAGTCACCTGTGGGCCTATGTGTGAGGCACTGGCAATCCTGGCCTTCTTTCTCCCCAGTGTATCCTGACACTCTCACACTCTCTGCTTCTGGGAGCAAACTTGAGAATTAATTACCAGCATACCCAGAACCAGTGAGGACATGGCTGTAGAGTGCTCCTTGAGCATGTGTGGTAACACTTACCCTGGAAGGATTGGGAGTGATTTGGTCATTAAGTAGCTGACAAGAGCCCCACAGCTTCAGCCAGGTTGAGGGTGACAACAGATCAGCCCCTTGGGAGCCCTGGAGACTTAGTTGGCTTTACTTAGAGACTGTGGGAGCTTGATCCCTCTGGGCTACATCCCAGCCATTTTCTCTGTCCCAGACAGAGCAGCCTTGTTCTCTCCTCCTTAGTCACAGGCCATTGTCTGGCATGGAGTTCTGGGGGTGAGAAGTGTCCCGGGGCTTGGATGCCCTGCAAAGGCCCAGTCTGGCATGACTCCTAAATTAATAATGTATTTAGCTGTGGGAAGATATCCTTGAGAGCCAAGGGCTGGAGGAGGTGTCCCTCTGAATGTGTCACTGCACAACTTGGCACAAAAAGGGTTACCCAGAGCAGCAGCCATCTTGCTGCAGACGATGCTTTGTTCCCAGCTGAGGGTCTGAATAATTTCATTCCAGGGCTGGTGGGATTCTCCTCTAAACGCCTCTTCTGCCACTTTTGGAAGCCTTCTCTGTGCTCCTCCCCGCAGGGCCACAAAAGATATGTTCAGTCCTTGGCTCAGAAGCTCTGAGTCTGGGAACAGGGAAGAAGAGGCTATTTCTTTAGCAACAGAATCTAGACTTGCTAACTGTGACAGATGCAATGTTACTTCTTTTAGACTCTGATACCTCAGACCTCTGAGACCTGCAGTTTTGTTTTATTTTGTTTTCCTCTTCTCTTTGGGGATATGTGCATTCCTTCCATGTCCTTCTGCCCCAGCCCATCCATCCCCAGGGACTCAGGTGGCGTCCTGACTCCTCTCAGTACTCAGTCCCTCTCCTTCTGTTTTCTCCACAGCAAGCCCCGCCCAACACGGACTGGCGTTTCTCTCAGGCCCAGAGACCAGGCACCAGCGGGTAGGTGACTGATTCTCCAGCCCACACTCTTCTCTGCAGCATTTTCTCAGCGATGACGATGACGTGGGAGGAGATTGGGGGGAGGGCACAGCACTTGCTACAAATGGCTGCTTCCCTCAGTCTGAGATTTTGGGAAGGTTTCGAAGGTTTTGTTGTACTGAGGGCTGGTACACAGACCCCAGAAGGAAGAGGCACCTACCCTGACAGTTTTGGAAGCTGAACACACACACACTTGCTCCTATTTCCCTTCTCCCCACCACATGCATGTTTTTCTATTTTCTGAGGGCTGTATGGGACCAGAAAATGGTCTCCGGATGGAAGGGAGGCTTTTTATACCCACCTCCTGCCAGCAACCACTTCCTCCAAGTGGAGCTGGGTTCCACCCTGACCATGGCCAGCCGGGGCAGAGGAACACAGGCCAAGAGGAGCAGCGGGAGGGGGCTGTCCACAGTCAGCACCTCCTTCGGAGCCTTTGAGGAGGAGAAAGGGAGAGGCCGCTGTGGGGAGTGCAGAGACAGCACAGCTCAAGCGAGATGAGGCTGAGGGAGGGGCGCCACCCTGGGGAGGGCCAGGGCGAGTGTCCCTTGTCTTGTGCCACCTCCAGCTGCCCTCTGGCCTCCACTAGTCCTGCCCTGACTGCCAGCAGGACTTCTGCTCTGCCTCTTCTCTCACAGTTTGTGTCTCAGCCTCTCTCTCCTCAGCTTCTCCCCTCAGTCTCTAGCTCACTTTGCGATCTTCGCCTTTCCCTCTCTTGTCTCTCTCAGGCTCTATCTTTCTGCTGCATCTCCATCCCCGCCATTTGAGTCTACTTGCTCTGATCTACGCCACCTGGCACTGTGCCTGAGATGGTGGGGCTGCTGGATAACTGTGGCAAGAGTGAATAAACGTGACTCTTCCTTTGGCTCAGTCTCAACTTCTCCTTTTCTGTCTTTGCCTCCCTTTCCTTGTCCTCGACCTCTTCTATCTCTCCTTCCATTATTTCCTAGTCTCTTTGTGTTCTATCCCCAGTCTCCATGTTCCTCTGCCTCATGATTTCTACTTTCCTCTCTGTTCTCAGCCTCTGTGCTCCTCAGTATCTGTGCTTCTGTCTCTTTCTGCTTCTCTGAGTCTCTTTCTTTGCTGTACTTTATCTCTTTCTTCCTGTCCCTTTCTCTGAGCCCATCCCTCTCTCCTGTCTTTACTTGTGGGTAAGCCAGCCACACAGGCCCCTCTCCCTGCGCCCCACACACCGAGCCTTTGATCGCTGCTCCCCTCCACTTGCCCTCCCATCCCAGCTGCCAGGCTGCTCATTTCAGTCCCCTACAAATTCCTGTGGAGACAGGAACCCCCTGTGGGGGCAGGAGACTTCAGCAGAAAGAGCTCTAGTGGGTCTGAGGGGAGCCATGGGCTCTGGGCCAGGCCTCCCTGGTGGAAGCCCAGAGCTGGGAGGAGTCAGTCCAAGGAGCCCAGGGATAGAGGCAGGGGCTTGGGTTGCCTCCCCTGCCCACATCTGCCCAGATGCTAAGACGGTGAGCTTCTGGGCTGCCATTTTCCCCCTCTCCTCCCCAAGCAACTCCTCCCTGCCACAAGAACACAAGAAGCCTTGGTGTGTGGTACAGATTCCTGCTTCTGGGCCTGCCCAGTCCTGTCCTGGCAGCAGGAATGCCAAGCACTTCCTAAAGGCCCCTAAAACCAGAAGACTGAGGCTGCCCTGTCCCTCTGCTCCATCCCAGCTGTTTCTCTTCTTCTCCCATTGCCCCTCCCCCACCCCATAGTTACCCATTAAATTGTTCCTAAATTCATCCCATCAGCAAATGTTTATTAAACATCTACTATGAGCCAGGCCCTGTGCCAACACTAGGCTTTAAAAGTGAACACACATGGGCTGGGGATTTAGCTCAGTGGTTCCGCTGCCTGTCTCGCAAGTGCAAGGACCCCAGTTCGATCCCCAGTACCAAAAAGAAAAAGAAAGAAAGAAAAGTGAACACACAGATAGGATCCCTGAACTCATAGGTTTTGAGGCCAGCAGAGGAGAGAAAATTAACAACAAATCATACACACACACACACACACACACACACACACACACACACACACGGGGATCTAGTTACAAATCATAGAAAGTTATAGGAGGAAGAGTAATGTGTGAGAATAATGGGAATGGGAAGGGGGGTCAGGGAAGGCCCAATAGGAGGTGACATTTGAGCCGCAGCTATGAGAAGCACTGGGCCATTTTTATTCCCTTTACCCATCCCCATCTCCAGCCCAAGTCCTGGACTTGGGAACCTACCAGTTGCCTCCCGTGCACCTCAGGGGATAAGCACCTTACCCTGCTTCAAGTCCCCTCCCATCAGTGAGAGGCTTAGCAGCCTAGAATTCATGGAGAGCTTTGGGGAGGAGGAGAGAAGGGCCAAGTGCTCTCTTTTCCTTACTTAACTTGCTAAGGATGAGAGGAGCATTTCTGACTCAGCTCCAAAGAGGCCAACATAAAACAACTGTTAGGGGTTCATCCAGCAACTTCTCTCCTTCATTCAAAAATCACTAAACACCTTCCATAGACCAGGCAAGAGATCGGACATAGTCTCTGTTCTTAAGAAGTTTGTAGTGCGTTGAGAGAGACAAATATTAATCAAATAATCACAAAAAATAAATGTAGGGCTACAGTTATCGTAAGTGCATATAGAAGGGATTTGACCTAGTCAGGAACAGGAGGACACCCAAGAGGAAATGAGGCTGTGTTAAGATCTAAAGGATGAATATGAACTAACCAACTGAAGACAAAGGAAGAGCACTGTACATGGAGGGAGGAGCATATGCAAAGGTCCTGAGGTGAAGCCTGTCAGGATTAACAGAATGGCAGGGAGTTTTCTCTTTGGTCCCATTTTGATGAGCAGATTGGAGTGAAACTTCTGTCATTCAATCAAACTCTGCTTCCAGCCTCCACTGCTTCCCTGGCCCACTATCTTGCCCACTACCCTTTAGCCCATCCTGTGCACCCCATCTGGTCAGGGTGTGCAGCAGAGCCAGTGTTGAGGTTTTCAGTGAATGTAGTTCAAGCTAACATTAGGACACACTGAATAGACAAAAGGAGAAAAGACTCACATTCTCAAGTCCTTGCCTACCCCTGCCTCCTCCTCCTTACTACTGCCCCTTCTCAGGTCATCCCTTTGGGATTTTATTTTGTTTCATTTTTGTTTTTGTGTTTTGGGTTGCTATGTAGTTCAGGCTGGCCTTGAACTCATGGCGATCCTCCTGCCTCAGCCTCTGGAGTGCCAGGGTTACAGGCTTATGCCACCACATCCAGCTCATCCTTTTGGCTTCTGATCCGAACAGCTGTTGTCCCAAGCTCAGAGCCCAGGGAGGCGTCTCTCCCTTAAGGCTATAACCTGGGCCCCACCCTGCCCTGCAGCTGTTCCTAGCCTCTGCCCGGGGAGGCGCTGACAGTCTCTATTTGGCTTCTATCCCACCCTGTTCCCTTTTGATAGCTCCAAATCTGCACCACCATTTGCCAGCTCTGGAGCCCTTTGCATCCCTCCTCCTCTGAGACACACTGTCCCCATCCTCCCTCAGACTAGTCATTCACCAAAGAGCAGCTTAAATTTTCTGCTTATAAAATGTTACTTGCTTTATTATAGAAACATGAGAAAGAGAAAAAATTAAAGAGAAATCACCTATGATTCTATAACCTAGTGAGAACCATTAATAACTTTTTTAATTAAAAATTTCAGGGCTGGGGATTTAGCTCAGTGGTTCCACCACCTGCCTCGCAAGCACAAGTCCCAGGTTCGATCCCCGGTGCAAAAAAAAAGAAATTTCAAGTCTAAGCAAAGTAGAGAGATGGTGTGATAAACTTCTATGTAACTAATGCTCTATCTTGTGTCACTTATAACCCCTCCTTCATACCCCACTTGGATTTTTTTGAAGCAAATCTTAGATATCATATAATTTCATTTGTATCTTCATTATCTTTAACAGATGAATGTTTATTTTTTTCTAGACAGGGTCTCACTATGCAGTTCAGGCTGGTCTTGAACTCATTATGTAGCCCAGGTTGGCCTCAAACTCATGGCAATCCTCCTAGGGTCTCAGCCTCCAGGGTGCTAGGATTATAGGCCTATGTAACTACACCTAGCTTTAGATGAATTCTTTCTTTTTTTTTTTTTTTTTGGTACTGGGGATTGAATTTGGGACCTTGTGCTTGCAATGCAGGTGGTGGAACCACTGAGCTAAATCCCTGGCCCCAGAAGAATTCTTTCTTAAGATCCACATTTTGTATTTAGTTGTGTCTCTTAACTTTCCCTAACCCTTTTTTTTGTTTGTTTTTTTGGTACCAGGGATTGAACTCAGGTCCTTGCGCTTGCGCAGCAGGCGGCAGAACCACTGAGCTAAATCCCGGGCCTCCCTAACCCTTTTTTTAATGTAAAAGTTTCTCCTTTTATTTACTGAGTTATTAACATTTTCATATGTAACTTTTCAAATGTTTTTGTATAATCAAACAGCATATGGAAGTTTCTCCTTTTTAAAAATCCAATTTACCAAAAAAAAAAATCCAATTTACCTAAATTGTTCATAAGCTTGTTCACACTTGGAATATCAAGAACTTTCACACCCAGTCAACTGGTATATTTCTTACCAGTTTTTTACTTTTCTTTGTACTGGGGATTGAACTGGGGACCTTGTGCTTGTGAGGCAGGTGGCAGAACCACTGAGGTAAATCCCTGGCCTCTTACCAGTTTTTAAAAAAATAGTAATTGATGGGCTGGGGATTTAGCCCAGTGGTTCTGCCGCCTGCCTCGCAAGCACAAGGTCCTGAGTTCGATCCCTGGTACCAAAAAAACCCAAAAATAAATAAATAAATGAAAAATGAAAAATAGTAATTGAGGTCATCCTGCCCATCAGTATTGTAGCCTATTTTTTCACCTTTGAAATATATCAGGAGAATTTCCCCATGTCAATAAAAATTCCTTAAAAATTATTTAGTTATTACATTATAGCCTCTCATACAGACATATATGTATATTTTTTAGATATTAATAAGCTCTTACTATGTTAAAAAGATACACATGTTGGGCTGGGGATTTAGCTCAGTGGTTCTGCTGCCTGCCTCAAAAGCGCAAGGTCCTGAGTTCGATCCCCGGTACCAAAAAAAAAAAAAGATACACACGCATTTATGTATTTGAACACAGTTACACCCAGACTGTTGTCAAGATGACTTTCCCAGATTTCTCACTTTTTTTTTAGCATGATGCAGGGAGAATATTTCACTATAGCTCAGCCCATAAGATCCCCCCCCACACACACACCCACATATACACACGCAGTATACCAGAATATAAACTCCTTGATGCAGGCAGTGTACCTATCATCTCTTAAATCCCAGGGCTGGTCACAGGCACTGGCATATAGTGGGTGCTTAGAAAATGGTGAATGATGCCTTTACTTTGCAGTCTTCCCTGGATCCTGGAAGAGTCCCCTGCATCTGCTGCTAGGGCTCCAGGGCACCCTTGCTGAAGCCTAGCATGGTGGTGGAGCCATAGGAGGCCTACTTTAAGGTTGCAGCTCAGCTGCTTGCCAGCTGTGTGACGTTGGGGTCCCTGAGCCCTGATTCCATCTGCAGGAAAACAAGGATAATCATAACCCTATCTGCAGGGTGGTTCTGAAGATGAAACAGAAGATAAATATATAGTCCAGTTGATCCAGTACTCAGAGAACAGGGAGCTCTCAGTAAATGGTGAAAAAAGAAGTCTCTGCTTGTGTCTTGTCAGCTCAGAGGGCTGGCAGCCTGCCCATCATGTCCTGGCCTTCTCCCTGCAGCCCAGCGCATCCTATTTCCAGGCCACCCTTCCAGTCACCTTTACCCCTCAAGGCCACTGCTCGTCGCCAAGGGGCGACCCCCTCACCTGTGGGGCCTGGTCCCTGTGGCCTCCCCAACAGCCCAAAGATCTCCTCCCTGCTGCTTCTCCCATGCTCCCCATTTTACCCCATTATACCCCTCACCTGGCCCTCAGCCCACCCACCAGAGAGCTCAGTCCGACTAGAAGTGAGGACTCCCAGACTTCCATGGCGACAGAGATAGCTGAGGCCCCCCCACCTCTGGGTTCCTGCCCTCCCAGGGGAACCTCCACCCTCGGTCCTTTCACAGGAGCAAGAGTGATGTTTAAATCCGTAAATCCCATCTTGGCCATCTCCCTTTAGACACCCCAGTGGCTTCCCAGAGCTCTAAGGGTGGGAGCAAAATCTTTAGTGTCCACACTGCTGCTCCAGCCAGACCCCACCTACTCGTCTGTCTTAGTCCTTTAAAGTCACCAAGCTCCTTCCGCCAAGCAACTCAGAGGCTTAGAACAGTTCCTCCCTCTGCCTGGAAAGGTCTCTCCCAGAACACTACACCTCTTCTAGGTGAACTTAGGTTTTCCTCTTAACTTTTTATTTTGAAATATCTCAAACCTATCAAAAAGTTGAAAGAATTATATGATGAGCATCTGAATACTCTTTACACCTAGATTCATCAATTTATTTGCACCTTTATCTTAATGTTTGTGTGCGTGCGTGCACAGGCACGCACACACACACTTTTTTTTTTTTGGACCATTTGAAAGTGAGTTGTGGACATCATAGCATTTGATACTTTAGTATATATCCCCTAGGATGCCTTTATAACCACATTTGAGGCATTTAACATTAATGCAATAATTTATAGTCCACTACCAGATTTTCGTAAATGTTCCCAATATATCTTTTAACCTGTTTTGTTTTTTTTTTAAACTTCAGGATCCAATCAATGAGCATGAATTGCATTTTGTTGCCCTGGCTCTTCCTTTTTTATTGTTATTATTATTAGAAATAGATTCTCACTATGTAGCTCAGGCTAGCCTTGAACTCATTATGTAGTATGGGCTGGCCTCAAACTCACAGTGATCCTCCTGCCTCAGCCTCCTGAGTGCTGGGATTACAGGCATGTGCTACCTACTTTCTTCTCCTTTAATCTAGAACAGCCTCTCTACTTTTTTTCTTTATGATATAGATATTTTTAAAGGCATCCTGAACCACATAGTGAGACCCTGCCTCAAAAAAAAATAGATAGATAAGTAGTTCAGATCAGTTGTCTTTTAAAATGTCCCACAAATAGGATTTGCTGATTATTTTTCTTATGGTTAGATTCTGGGTGAACAGTCTAGGTAGGAATAATCCTTGAGTGATATTACATATTTCCCACATCAGTTTGTCACATTATGAGCAATGTCCAGTTTGTTCACTTGGTGAAAGTAGTGTCCCCAAATCTCCATTATAAAAGTTTTCAGTTTTTTGTTTATTTTGAGACTAAGTCTCACTATGTTGCCCAGTCTGACCTTGAATCCTCCTGCCTCAGTCTTCTAAGCAGCTGAGACTACAGGTGTGGTGCCTAGCTTTATAAAAATGTTTTAAAGTATTTGTGGTTGATGAGTAATCTGTGGATGTACATGAGATGTGGAACAATGCTTCATCCATTTTTAGTAATTTAGTATTCAATGATGATCCTTGCTTGAATCTGTTTTCATAACAGTGGTTACCAAGAGGTGATTTTCAGTCATTCCTTCCACATTTTATTTAGCTGGCATTCTCCTGCAAGTCACCTAGATAATTTGCTCAGATCTTAAATTTGCTCTGGAGAAGCCTAGACCAACTGAGCTCCCTCACCCCGACTAGGTCAGGATTTTCCTTACATGTTCTGGTAGTCCCCTGCTCTTTGCCTCTGTTCACCTGTCAGAGTTGCAATTAAATCATTGCTTAATCTTTTAACCCCATCAAGATGGACTATTTCTGGACTGGGGATTTAGCTTAGTGGATTTAGCTCAGTAGTGCAAGTGCAAGGTCCCGAGTTTGATCCCTGGTACCGGGGTGGTGGGGGAGAAATGGACTATTTCTGCCCCATACACACCTACAACCCTGCTCTTAGCCCACCATAGTAACAGTACATAGTAACAGCATAGTAAATCTTTGTTAAATAAGTAGGTGCAGAACTCCAACTCTTCCCACTCTTAGGAGGGAGGAATGGTATTCTGTTTTCCCCTCCAACCTTAATTTTATGTTTGCTGTGACAGGGCAGAGTTGACACATAGCAACAGCGTGCTCTATTTTGAGCTTTAGACTGGGTCCATCTAGCTGGGAATGGAGAAATCATAAGTAGAGACAGACTGCAAGGTGTAAAGACGTTCTTGGCGCTGCTCACTTACCGCAACAACAACAACAACAACAACAGCAGCACACACAAACACACACAAAACACAGACGTTCTTGCTTTCAAGGCCTGCCCTGTAGCCCTTCCCACGATGCCAAACCTTTAATCTTACCTCATAGGGATCCAACTCTAACTCTCTCCCCTGGCCTCTTCCCATCCACTCAGACAACAGCTATTTATTGAGGAACTTCTCTGAGCCAGATGGAGCCAACGGGTTCCTAACAGGCAGGCTGCATATGTGTGGCAGGCTGCTTCCCTCCTGCAAAGTGAAATAATTGGATCCTTAACAATTTTTTTAAAAAAGCATAGAAACAGTCACAGTGGGAAAAATCTAAATTTACTTGGAATTCCTTAGGGTTCTTTTATAGTTTAATATTTTTAAAAATTATGGATCACTTCATGCTTTTTCAATTCACAGGGCTTCTGAATCCTAATTAGATCCAGATGCCAGCTTTTACACCAGATGAATCAGTAGGAAGTGGGCACAAGTGTCCCCGCCTCACAGAGGTCACTGAGGTGGAGGAGCAGACAGTACAGTCACAGGGTGACTGTGGCACCACCTGACCCAGCCAGCATGGGCTTAGGGATCCCCTTGGGTAAATTTTACATCACCAAGGCCCAGGCTTCAGGGCTGATGTTCTAGGGAGTGGCAGCTGCCCAGGATTCAAGTAAAGAAAGGGTTAGGGAAGGGCTTTGGGAAACTTCTGATGAAAGAAGCCTTGTGACTGGAGCTAGAGGTGGGTCATCTCATGAAATAGAGGGGCAGGTTCTTACATCAGATTTGAGGGTTGCTTGGGTTCTCCTGCATCTTCCCTTAGGTTCTCTCATCCACACCCCTTTCCCTAATTCTGAGACATACTCTAAGCTTTCCACTGTCCTCCGGAGAGAGTCTAATGTCCCTTGCTGTAACAGTAATCACGTGCTCTTGTGAAGGGTGGGGAAGGCAGTTTATTATTTGCACCTGAGATAGCAGAGGTTTGGGGGATTGAAGGTCTGTGTAAGCCCCTCAGACCTTGCTCAGGGGCGCAGGTTTTCGGCATGAGGTGCAAATGGACCACTAGATTTGGGAAAAATAAAGTGGCCTGGCCTGGGACCCTGCTCACCATCCCACTGTCTCCCCAGCTCCCAAAACGGCGATGAAACTGGCACCTGGCCCAACAACCAGTTCGACACAGAGATGCTGCAGGCCATGATCCTGGCCTCCGCCAGTGGTGAGTGGCACCAATCAAGTGGTGGGGTTGGAGGTGTGGGGCTCAGGTGCCTCCCACGGCCTCCATGCCGGGAGACTGGATATCAAAGTGCATAGTTTCTCTGGATCTTGCAGCTACGGAGAGAGGATCCATGACTCCAGGATGTACAGCCAGGTTAAAGAACAGCAGAGGAATGGGGGGGGGGGGCCTGCGGTGCCCTGAGGGGAGGGAACAAGTATCAGTCTATTGAGATGTGGGGGTTGTGGTTACAAATCTAGCTCTGGAGAGGACAGCGGAGGTCAGGTCCTAGCTCTGCCACTTACCCCCTGTGACTTTGATCCGTTTGCTCAGTTTCTCTAAACCTCAGTTTCCTCAGCCAAGAAAGTGGGGATGGCAACCCCACAGAGCTTTTGTGAAGATTGAAGGAGAAGCTACCATGAAGCAGAGTCCTGGGCCTGGCACATGCAAAGCCTCAGTCCGTGAAAGTGGGTATGGATAGTCCCAAGGGATAGAAGAAGTCTCCTTTTTTTGTCTCCCTTACGTGCAGACCAGGACTTTGGTTTTCCCACAAGTCTTACAAAGAACTTCACATGAGATGGGGACTCAGCCAATGGTAGTTGTCCTTGAAAAGTCACACTGGTCCTGAACAGGAAAGCAGAATAACAACATCAGCACTGAAGAGCACAGGCTTGGGAAGCAGGCCAATCTGGATTCGAATCCTGATCCTGCTCTTACCACTTAGCTGTGAGTCTTTAGATAAGTTATTAAGCCCCTCTGGGACCCAGCTTACTTATGAAATGGACACATTAGTAGCCTTCATTGTGATGTCATGAGGACCAAATGTAAGGCCTTCAGGACAGAATTGGCAGAGAGTAGAGCACATAATTGATTGAACATTATATTTATTGACTGATGGGGATAAAAGGCAGAATTAGAATAATGCCTATTAATAAAGATCGGCTTCTGGGTTTTTTTGTTTTGTTTTGTTTTTTGTTTTTGGTACCCGGGGATTGAACTCAGGTCCTTGCACTTGCACAGCAGGTGGCGAAACCACTGAGCTAAAGACCCAGTCCAGGATCCGCTTCTGGAGCAACAAATTGTGGGGTCATGGGGAGGCTGGCAGAGGATTAAGGCACTGGCCTTATATACGTCTGGAGGACTGGTGTAGAGAACCTCACAGTGCCACTGTCATCATGCCAAGGCACACGTCAGATAAACTTTGTGAGATGTCACTTGCACCAAGATTCCCAGTTTTGAGCTGCACAGCTGTGATTCCAACTGACCCCTAGTCCCAAGTTCATGCCCTTTCTACTACAGGTGACTGTGTCTGCGTTTAGATCAAGCCTCATTTTCCCTTTTAGCTGATTAGATCTAGAAGCTGAACTCCTCCTAATGCTACTTTTCTCAGATTTAAGTTGCCAAATAAAATACAGGATGGCTGATTAGATTTTAATTTCAGATGAACAAGTGTTATGGTAGCATAAGAAAATTTCAAATGTTGCACGAGATAGATTAAAAACTTATGGTTTACCTGAAATGCATATATAATGGGACATCCTGCATCTTTATTTGCTGTCGTCTGGCAACCCTACCTGAGACTCTGTGAGGTTATGTGGGGCCAGGCTGTGGCTGATGACAGGTGGCAGGGGCTGCCAGCCTCCTGGGGCAGAGCTGTCCCAGGTCTGATGGGGCTGTGGTCCTAGACAGGCCAGATAATGAATATGAAAGAAGCAGGCAGCTGGGTCTGGGGAGATCCAAAATCCAGCCCTTGAGGGATGTAAACAGGTCTATTTAGCTGTTGTGACCTTAAACCCTAAGGCTAGAAAACAGGCTTTTTAGCCTAAATCCAGATGTTAAAAATGGACATGGAAGCGGTATTTAAGGTCTAAAGTCCTCCCTGAAGGTCTCCCTGGAGCAGGGCCAAGGCTGCACACTCCCCTGCTGGGGCTCCACCCCTGCCCTCCAGCCACCCCTCCAGCCCACAGGGGGCCTGACCCTAGGCTGGGCTTGGGGCCCAGGAGTGGACTCTGGAGTGGAGGTGGCAGGGTTAGGCCCTACTCTCACTTTCACACCCACTTCCTAGCACTAGAACCAGAGAGGTTCCTGGAGTTCAGCCCAGCGAGGCCTGTGGGGTTACTGAGGGCAGCTAAGAGGGAGGGTGAGAGGGACCCTTGGGAGGCTTTTTAGATAAACACTTGGAGGAGGTGTGCTGTCCAGGAAGCTGTGGTTTGCAGCGGACCAGCTCTTGTCTATCATCCTCGGGCCTCCCTGGCCACTCTGAAGTTTTGCCTCTGCCCTGGGCTTGTCTGGGGGTAGTTGGGGGTGGACATGGGGCTGGCACAAGAGAGGAGACCAGCATTACCCCACCTCCTCCAGCCAGAAGATGGTTGGGTGCTTTCTCGAAGCTTTTCTAAATGAACTTAGAGACTTGGTCCTTGCCTAGTGTGGGTTTTGAGGGGGGGAAGATTTGGGGGGTCGGGCGTTGGAGAACTGATTCTTTAGGAGGTGAGAGCTGGGTGATCCAACTTCTTCCCCTCAAACTTATAGATGGGGAAACACAGGCCTGAGTGGCCCAGGGTCTGGCCCAAAATCACACAGCTCTTTAATGGCGGAGCTGACCAGACACAGTTTCAGGGTCAGTCTCTGTCTATTACACTCTGGACACCCTGGATTCCCCATCTTCTCTTCCTCCTAGCCCATCCCAATTTCATGGAACCCCACAACGTGAGCAGGAGTTTGCTTTGTCATTTTCATCCATTCTGGGGGCTTCTTTGAGATCTTGAGTGCATGTAGGATGTGGGTGGGCCTGACTTCCTATCTTTCAGTCCTGCTTCCTTTCTTCCAGTTTTTCTCTGCATTCCTTCCTCTTTCCCTTCTGGTGTACATGTGACCCCACACACACACTCCAGTCTCCCCTCTAGCTCCTAAATCACTCTGGAATTCAGGCTCTTTGAAATTGGATCCGGAGCCCTTCCCCTCCTTCCATTCCCAGGCTCTAGGGGGCTGGAAGTGGCAGGGGTTGGAGGGGAGGGGAGGGGAGGGCCGCCAAGGCCCTGGCTCCCTCCTGGAGTTAATTAGGGAAATGTTAAAACGAGTGAAAAGGCTGGGGGAGGGGCAGCCTGGGGAAGGAGAGGAGGAGGTGGGCAGCTGCTCCCTTCTAGCCAGGCTCTCTCTCCCCACCCCCGGAAGGCTGCAGCTGCGAGGATTTAGGATTTGAGTAGAGGCTGTAGAAACCCGAGTGCTAGAAGCGTGTCTCTGCTGTCTCTTCTCTTGTGCCTTCCCACTCCTACCGCAGCATTGAAAATATTTCCTGTCTCTCTATTTCTCAATCCTGGTTAGTGTCCCAGAATTACTCAGCTTCTCCAGTTTTAGTCACTCTCTCTACCCTTTCCAGGGTCTAGGGTGGGGGCAGAGGGAGACTGTGATACAAGCACTTCTGCCAGCTGGGCAGGGGTTGGGCTGGGCAGGCCTGATGCTTTAACTCCTTCTCTGCCACAAAGGAGTTTGGGGCCTCCAGCCATGAACCCAAAGAGCCAAACTCCTGTTTCCCCCCAGTAACCTTCACCCAGCCAGGTATGGTGTAGGGTAGAGAGGCTGGCACCTTAGCCGAAGATGAGGATGACAACAGCCTTTATTGAGCACTTGTCAAGTACTGAGCACTGGGTGGAGGCACTGTGTCATTCAGTCCGTGTGATAGGACTGTGCCTCAGCCATTGTTCAGCATTCAAGTCAAGTTGCTTGGAGACCTTGTTACGATGCACATTTTGAGAATCTGCACTTTGAACAAGTTCTGGGGTGATGCTGAGCGAGGGCCAGACTTCGTACTTCTCGGGGGCCGTTTCTTCTGTTCAGTGGACAGCTGGGCTGGAGATGCTTTCTTATCTCACCTAGCTCAGACAGTTCTGAGGCTCTGCCTGCACTGCACCTAAGAAGCCTGGTACCTGGAATCATCATCTCAGACTCCTAGTGTTAGATCAAAGACCCATGATGAAACCAAAAATATAACCAGCTGCAAGAAAATTTAAAGTGGAAGTTTACTGCCTCCAGCAACCACACCCCTGGCTGAATCTAGGAGTCGCAGTCCTCCTGGCCAGGGGTGGTCAGGGTTATATACATTGGGATCTGGATTCAGGAGATGTCCATGTGGGTGATTGGGCAGAAGGGAACAAAGTGGGGTCACCTGAAAGGTTAAGCTAAGTTCTGTTTTTCTTTTTTGAGACAGGGTCTTGCTATGCAGTTCAGGCTGGCATTGAACTCTCAGGGATCCTCCCAAGTTGCTGGGATTACAGGCATGTGCCACCATCCCCTCCTGGTTCTATTTTTCTAAGTTTCCATTTCCCCTAAATGGCATCACCTGGTCAGAGCTGAGTTACGTTTAACTTTTCTAAGTTAGGTTTCTACTTTTCAGAAATGACATTGCTTATATGCCAGGAAAGGGTACTACCTTCTCTCCTCGCACCTAAAGCACGGCAAATCCCCATTTCCCCCCTGCCTCCTTTGCCCTCAGAGTAGGGATAAGGTCCAAGCTGGTTTAGGTGGTAGAGGAGAGTAGCTGTGCCCTCTAGCAGACACCTAGGTACACTTGGGCCTGAGTCTTTCGGTAACATACTGACTGGTACCTGACTTCTCTTAGCCTTGGTTCTGTCATCTGTAAAATGAAGAGAATTCCACATACTTCACTGGGTATTCTGCTGAGGTTAAAAGTGGCCATGCATGGGAAACCTCTAGCAAAGTGCTTGGCTCAGAGTGGACAGTCAAATGCTACCCAAAAATGGATGCTTGGAAGAGTATCCAACTCCCCACCCTACCCCAGTAGCAGAACTACTGAATTGCTACTCTGTGCCAGGCACTGGTTGGAGGAGGAAAGGCATATGTACAAACCATGGCCTAGCATGGAAGCCAGAGGCTCCTTTTCAAAGGATTGAGAAGGGCAAGGATTTGGGAGCCAGAGTCTCGCTTTGAGAAGTACTAGCTAGCATGTTTTCAGCACTTACCATACACCAGGCCCTATTTTAAGTGTTTTACATATAGGTTCTTATTTCACTTTCACTCAAACCAGAGGTGTCACTCCTGTTTTCCCGATCAGAAAAAGAGAGCCAGGCATCTCAGCTAGGCTTTCTCACTCTTAACCCTCAACTCCTTGCGGACAGAGACTCTCCAGGTAATCACTGTATTCCCAGTGCTCAGCGTGGTCAGGGTCCACAGTGCTCTACAGATATTCATTAACTGCTTGTGGTATCAGAGTCTTGGCCTTCGCTCTGACGATCTGATCTTCCTCTGTCTCTGCAGAAGCTGCTGATGGGAGCTCCACCCTGGGAGGAGGAGCTGGCACCATGGGCTTGAGTGCCCGCTATGGACCCCAGTTCACCCTGCAGCACGTGCCCGACTACCGCCAGAATGTATACATCCCCGGCAGCAATGCCACACTGACCAATGCAGCTGGCAAGCGGGATGGCAAAGCCCCAGCAGGTGGCAATGGCAACAAGAAGAAGTCTGGGAAGAAGGAAAAGAAGTAATGTGGAGGCCAGGCCTAGAGCCACAGAGCAGCCTCTCTCCCCAACCAGCTTCTCCTTACCTGTACCCAGACCTCAGAATTCCAGGGCTCACCCCCAGGATTCTGGTAGGGGCCAAGGCCATGCTCCCCTTGAGAAACAGAAACAAGTGCCCAGTCAACACCCCCCCCTTGCCCCCAGGGGGTTGAATATGCAAAGGGAGTTCTGCTGGGAACCCCCATCCAATCAATTGCTGTACCCAAGGGGGTGGTGCGGTTAGTGTAGACACCAAGAACCATTGTCACACCCCCTTTAGTTACAGCTGAACTCCTTCATCTTCCAAACAATCAGGCCCATCCATCCCCTGGCTCCCTGCTCCCCCACCCCACCCCTCTCCTTCAGAGTTCCCCTCTTGAGTAAGGTGGTTGGGGTGTTGAGGTACCAGGTGATCTAAAAAGGCTCTTAGTTCTGAAGAGTTGGAAGGGCACCATGACCTCTTGGGCTTCCCTTCAGTTCTCAATCTTACCCCAAAGCATGCTTTGGTGCCAATCCTTTCACCCCCTTCTAGAGCCTGTGACCAGTGCTCAAATATGGGAGACATGGTCACCATCCATCCCCATGGTACTGACGCTTGCTGGATTTGGGGAGAGGATTTTGCCACCAAGCCTCTTCCCAACGCCCTGGGGACCAATCTTTTGTTTTGTTTTTCATTGTTTGATGTTCCCACTGCATGCTGTGATTTCTCTCTCTACCCCTCCTCAAACAAGAGACTCCATTGCATGTTCTGAGATGGTAGGGGGTGGTAAGATACAGAAGGGAAGTGTGTGAGTGTATGTCCGCGCGCGCACGTGTGTGTATGGATGGGGGAGGATGGACAAATCTTGGCCCATCAGTTAGTTAACAGAGTCTTGCAGGAGCCTCTGTATGTCCCCAGGGTGCTGGCCAGATCCTCAGATTCCAGCCACAAAACAAACAGTAGGTTGGACCTTCACCACACACATACATATAGGCTTCAGCCTAGGCAGCCAGCTTTGGGTTGAGCTACCAGGACCAATGGGTTTAAAACTGGCATTTCAGTCCAAGGAAGCTTTGAGCAGGGTTTAGGAGCAGGCCCTCTAGAGAGGTCAAAAGGGCTGGCCTCTGTCCATGCTGGGTACTCCAGAGGTGCCACAGGTAGAAGGATTGAGAAGCCCCAGCAGGAAAGGAGGCCCAGCTAGGCCATTCTTGGTCCTTGGGTTAGGAGGCAAGGAGCTAGCGCAGGAATCAAGTGGGCAGAAAGTCTCAGCCTATGATGGGGCTTCTCCACAGAGTCCCTGCACTCCTCAAGCCTCGGCCGTTCACCTTGCCAGGTGCCATTTCTTCTCTGTGAAGGCCACTGCCCAGGCCCCCAATCCGCCCCCTAGTGGCCAGAGCCTGGTTAAAGTCCCCCAGTGCCTCCTTGTGCATAGACCTTCCTCTGTCCACCCCTTCTGATCCTGCGGTCGTTTCTTCAGCGGGGTTGCAGGAGAACGCCACCCCAGCCCTTCCAGTAGTGTAGAGCCCCCTCCCTTGGCTGGTGTAGAGTAGCCAATAGTGTAGTGCGGTGTGCTTTTACGTGATGGCGAGTGGGCAGCGGGGGCAGGCTGGAAGTAGCCGTCTGTCCTTGAATCTGCTGCCTGCAGCGGCCCGTGCTGTATTTTGTGTTGTGTCCACGCGCTGCGGCGACCCCCTCCAGGATACTGACCCCTTCTATAAGCGCTTCTCTTGGCATAGTCACGTAGCTCCCACCCACCCCCTTCCTGTATCTCACGCAAGTTTTATACTCTAATATTTATATGGCTTTTTTTCTTCGAAAAATTAATAAAAAGGTTTCTTCTGAAAGGTTGAATGTTTCTGTTTAAGAGCTGGAGCTTCTGGTATGTGTGGATGAAATGCGCTGAGAGGTGTATGCTGAAAGAGCGGAACTGTGTGGCAGCCGTTGTTTGCGCCTTTGTTTACTGTCATTGAGCATCTACATCTGTTTCGTGTGTGTGTGTGTGTGTGTGTGCTGCCGTTCGAGTCTGTATGACTGTCCAATATGGCTGTGTATGTTGCAACACCGTTGTGCCTCTGTGTGCGATGGGCTGTAACTGTGCTTGTGGATCTGTGGTGTGTGATCGACTCTCGGGCCTGTCGTGGGGGTGGGGAGTTTTGAGTGTGGCGTATCCGTGTGTAATTGGGTGCGCAGTTGTATGCTTGCTGCTATCCCCATTAGATCCTAAGCGCCAGTCTCCAGGCAGAAGAGACCCGGGAGGGCGGGGCACGGCGCGTTGGGCAGGCGCCTGGCTAGCAGCACCAGGAGGGTGTGGGAGGGTGCCCGCTAAACTCGCCTCCTTCAAGCGCCCAGGTGGGGGCTTCGCCGTTCCCGCCTCCACCCACTCAGGCTGCTTAGAGGTTTTGAGAACACAGCGGAAGTGGGAAGGAAAGCAGCAGGCGATTCTCCGGAGGCAGAGTGGGTAGCCTGGGTCTGTTTCTCCATTTGGAATTAGCCTTCCAGCTCACCTCTTTGCAACAGAAGCCTAACATAATTGGAGGGCGCATCGCTTTCTGGAAGCGGGGTCAAGGGGACCGAGTGAGCAGTAAATAAGATGGCCCGCAGATCCAGCTCTCCCTCCCTCCTTCCTCCCTTCGCTTCTCCATTCACTCCAGGTCTTCCATCTCCCCGCCCCCTCCTCCCGCTTCTCCATACCCCAGCCCCGAAATTTGAGGTTGCCGCACCAAAGCCGCAACAGGAAAGAGGGGGAGGGGAGGGCGCAAGGATCAAAACAGACCCACTGGGGTTATCCAAAGGGTCAGCAAGTGCAAGCCCAACCAGGGAGCGAGGAGGCGGTCTCTGGGCTTCCTCCGCGGGTTCTCTGAAGCCGGTCACCCTTTCTGCTACCTCCTCTAGCCTCCTGTCATGGAAACGAAACCTTTCAGGAAGCATCTGGGGGCGACTTTCTTGCGTGGGAGGGTGGTGCAAACGGTTGCCCAGATGGGAGCTGGGCGCCTGGGTTCTATTCCAGGCTTGGCAGCAGACGGGAAGAGCGCGTGAGCAGCTGCGGTTGGTCCCCTAATTGGTATATGCGCCTATAAAGCGGAGCCAGAAACGCGGGGCCCCTAGGGGAGAGAAAGCGAGGAGGCAGGCAGCCTACCCCCACACCTCCGGCCACACGGGAGGCAGCTGCCCAGGTCTTCGGCTGTTTAAAAGGCTTTTATGTCTAGTTCCACAGGCTGCTCCGAGGTGTTCCCCTCCCCGTCTACCCTGGGCCGGCTCGGCTCAGTTGCTTGGAGGTTTCTTGTACGGGTCACACCGGACCCAGACAGGCAAGGCTCTGAGAGGAAAGTCATCTGGAGCCTGACCTCCGACTTCTGACCTCTGCTGACAAAGTTCAGGTTCCCAGCCAAGCCTAAGCCTCTCTACCTTTCCAGCGTGGTCTGTGGCCACCAAAAAGGCCGGAGGTGTGAATGGGAAAATGGGGAGTCAGCAAAACAGGCACAGGTACTGCTGGGAAACTGCAGGACATTTCCAGGCATGAGGAAATGGGGAGTGAAGTGTGAGCTAAGAAAAGAACTCCAAGCCAGGAAGCAGCGATGTGGAAGAGACAGGGAGCTGAACTGGACATCTTGTTTCTTTATGGAAGTGAACCGCCTCGAGGGGAGCTCTGGCCAGGCAGAAGCCACCATGTATTGATCTACCCCTGTGCCCTGTGTCTGACACCTTTAGCTTTGTGACAGGTTTATCAGGCCAACCAGTGGTGTGATGCAGAAGAGAAGACCCTTGACTAGCGTGAAAAGAAATTAGCACAAAACTGGAAGGAGATGCTGTTCAATGTTTTATTAACAGTTGGAAACCCATCAAACTGGAGGTGATGACATCCCGGGAGCCCAAGTGGTGTGGGAAATAGGTTTGAATTTTGTCTCCCAACCCCAGTTTTTGTTTTTTTATTAAATGCATCTTAGCAAAAGTACATTAAAAAAGAAAGGGTCAAAGCCCTAGATGTCAGCGAGCAAGAGGAAGGTGACAACCCAAGAGAGCAACAGAGCTCCTGCACCACAGTCTTCCTGGGGCTGCCTTTGCCCCTTCAGACACAAGTTCTAGCAACCAGAACCTTCTTTCCTGTCACAAGGCCCCCTGGAGTCACCCGCAAGCCTCCCAAGTTCCCCCATGTTCTACCAAGTGTACTTCTGGGCCAGTCATTAACAATGCCATTCTCTCCTTGCTGAAGTGGAAAGCTCAAAGGGACATAGTAGGGTACAGGTGTCACCCTAAGCCAGAGAACCCGAGCTTCCTGGGGTTGGGGCCACCAAACAGTTCACCCTGCCCACTATTCAGAAGGAAGTGGGGTATGGTGTGTGGAGCACCTCTGGGCCCACTTCTCAGGATATCCAGTGAGCATCTGCACATTTGGCTTGGTAATTTACTGAATTCATAAAACTTGTGCCTTAGAGTTCCTGCTACTCTTAGGCTTGGCCCAGCCCAACCAGAAGAGATCTCTCCTGCCCAGAACTGATGCTGGGGGAGGATCTGCCTTGGCCTCCGAGTTCTGGGGGGGGGGGGGTTGACAGTTGAGGACACGGTCCAAGGGCATGCTTAGCACTGAGGCCTATGAAGAGAACCCCAGGAACTCTGAATCTAATATCAAAGCCTCTTTGATTATGGAAGGGGAAGGGGAAAGGAAGTTATTTTTCTTTAAAAAAATTTTTTTGTACAAAAATAGATCCATTTGCAAAACAATTTCTCAGCCAGGAGGCTCCACCTCCCATTTCCTTGGAGACGGAGGGTGAGGTGTAGGATGGTCGCACTACAGCCCATACTCCAAATGAGATGCACCAAAGCTTTGGGGAAGGCATTAGGGACCCTGGCTCAGGAGCCTGGGCGGGGCCTGGTACTGAGGGTTCAGGGAGGCAAGGACACAAAGCATGGCAGCAAGTTGGAGAGGTGGCCCACGCTGTCACTATGCCCTAGCAACCTGCCCATGGGCTCAGGCCTCTGCCACTGGGGCACAAGTAGAGCAGTCCAGATCCTTTTTGTTTTGGGAGCCCCTTCCCAGGAAGGTGGGTTAAGATGGGATTTGCTCCCTGCTTCCTCAGAAGCAGCTCCCAGTGCCACAGCATTAGTAATAAATAACAATAGCCAATAGGGGGAAGAGCAGAGGTGACAGCAATGAAAGAGGGCTCTAGCCCAAAGGTTCATAAGCCCCATGCTGTTCTCAGGGCCAGAGATACCACAAAAGAAAAGCATAAAGCCAGCAAGATTGACCTAGGGAAGGCCCACTAGAAAGTCGGGCTGAGAAAGCAGGATGGGCCTTGTCTGAAAAAAGGCCCTCTGAGTAACAGAGGAGACAGGGTTAAGGCAGCAAACACGGACCCTACTTTGGTAACACAATGGCCAGGGCTGGCTGGGTTGGGCTCAGATCTCTCCCACACTGCCCTTTTGGTCTCCAGAGGCAGCTGAAGATGTATGTAATGTTCAGAGAGCAGCAGGCCAGACAGAAAGAAATGGTCAGGGTGATAGGAGTGGCCGCTCTAGAGGAACACTCCCTGACCCTTTAGGCACATGCTACAGGGCAGGACAGTCTGGGCTCCATTTAGGAGCTGCTGTGGCCATGGGATCCAGGTTAACTTGCACGGCCAACCAACTCCTTGGCTTCCTCAAGGATTGTGGGGACTCCTTCACTGTTCTTGGACACCTTGGCAGGACCAGCAGTTATGACATCATCCTTGATCAGGTCTGGAGGTAGCATTGATGCAAGACACCCGACCTTCCTATTGCCTGCAAGAGAAGACATGAGATCCTGTCCATGGAAGATGTAATTTCTAATCTCTTTCAAATTCTGCAGCAGACATTCAGCCAGAAGCCATGCAAGTATGGCTGTCTTTTCAGCTTCACAAAGTCCCTTATTTTGAAGGAAGAGGGAGAGAGATCCAATATGCAGGATATACTTTTGGGTGGTGAAGAACATAAGAGCGTGGTATAACAGGAGAGCAAGCCTCGCCCTTGCTTCCTTGGTGACAACAGTACAAAGGTTTGAATATGGTTAGACAGATAGAAATGGGTTTACCTGTTGGCTGTGTCACACTTAAAGAGAAATAAAGTATTCAAAATCCCTTTTCTCACCATAGGGTTGGTGGAATTAAAAAGTCAAAAGCTTAGTATATAGTATAATTTTTCTTTTCTTGGTAGTCCTCAGAAAGCTTCTAGGCCAGTGGTGGTGAACTACGGCATGTGTGCTGCAGCAGGCTGTATCACTGAAAGCTCTAAAAGGTCCTAGGCCAAAAACACATTTCATTCTGCCCCAACAGGGCTATTTGTAGCAGAAGGGGGGCCTCTGGCAGGTTGCTGGGGGATACTGCAAAGAGAAGCGCAGCCACTAACTGGCATCCCATGCACACTGACTCTTATGTGATCCTCCAACAACCAATACCCACACTCCTGGCTTTCCCACCTCTTCAAGGACCTTAAAAGATGTGTATAAGTGTGTATGTGTGTGTCAGAGAAGGCAGAGCTGGTGGGAACCCTATCAAAAACCCTGGCTAATGGAGTGTGCAGTTCTAGATGTCATCCCACGTAGAAAGAGAACCATCAATTGATCCATGTGTTTCTGTTCAACTGATGGGATGTGTCCCCAACACTTTCATATTCATTTATGGAATCCACACTTATGACCCCAGTTTCTCAACAGGAAGGCAGTTTCTTGGGATGGCCATGCCTCTCTCATGATGTCTGCTCTGCTCATGCCCTTCTAGAAGCAGCACAGAGACTGCATGTATACAAGAGCTGCCTGGGTGAAAAAAAGCCAGATACAAAAGGTAATATATGTTACAACTCCATTTCCCTAAAATGTCCAGACCAACAAATCCAGAGATAGTGGATTAGCGGTTGCCAGGGGCTGAAGGGGAGAATCAGAAGTGACTGCAACCTTAAAGGGATGATAAATGTTTGAGCAGCTATGTTTACCCTGATTTGAATATTATACAATATGGGTACATATATCAGAACATCAAAGTACCTCATAAATATATAATTTTTATATATGAGTTTTTAAAAAGCACTGCTAATGGGTCTAGTTTCTTTTAGAGATGATGAAAATGTTCTAGAAGTAGATAGTAGTGACAGCTGCACAATCTTGTAACTATACTAAAATCAGTGAATTGTATACTGTACTTTAAAATGGTGTTTTTAAAAAAATAAAGCTTCCTGGGGACCTAGAAAAGCTTTGGTAGAGAAAGCAGTGCCTATGCCTTAAAGCAGCAGTAGCAGATGAAAGGGTCTAATGATCCTTAAAAGACTACAGGACTGGGACAGCTGTGGACATGAGTCCAGAGAAGCCAATGAACAAAGTCCCTTCTTTGGACCAGCAAAAAGCTTTAGCTAGAAGGCAAACAGATTCCACAACCCCAAGTCTTCACCAGGGCTTGTCAGTCTTACTGCAGTCATGCCCCAGAGCCACTGTTTTCAAGTCCAGTGGCTACCCAGAGGTCAAGCGGGAGCACACAGCATGCCCACAGGTTACCAACTTATGGGTCTCCTCCTCCTCCTCCTCGTCCTCCTCCTCCCAGAGGCACAAAGGGTTGTCTACCAAGAGGAGAAAGAATAGTAAAGATGCTGACTGACATCTACAGGGCTTACTAGGATCAGAGATGTGTGACCTAGACTTTGGGGACTTCACCAAGCCACTCACTGGATTAGGAACAGACTACTGCCTCAGTAGCTGACAGGTGAGGAAAAGGAGTGCAGCTGTGACTCTCATGCTCTACATGTGTGTACTTCTACCTTCCTTCTTAAGTCTCTCCTCACCAGCAAACTCCTTGAACCTGCTTAGTTTTCACTGTTTTCCAAAGTATTTGCTTCTCCAAGATCCCACTTGTCACGTCCAAAAAGGTAGAGGTCTGATCTTTGTTTTCTTTTTGATGGTACTGGGAATTGAACCCAGGGCCCTACACATGCTAAGCAAGTGCTGTACTGCTGAACTACATTCATGGCCATCAATGCCACTTTGTTGCTTCTTCGAATTATCAAGCAGTTGAAAAAAATACTGCAATCATCTTTGTGTGTGACTCCAATGTACATCTAGTATATATGTTGAAATATGTAACTTCTGGCTCCAGACCCTGGGCAAAGAACATAGGCCTTTGGGGACGCTTGTCCTGGGAACAAAGAAGTCAGAGTTCTACTGTGGCAAGTCTTAAACTGCTTCTTTCCTTGGTTTCTTTCTGTAAACGAAGAAGATATCTGTTGTATCTAATTCAGCAGCGGTTTAGGATTTCTCTAGACTCAAGAAGCTTCTGATGTATTACAGATTTCCTAAGAACCAGAAGCAGATGGTAGGTAAGTAGAAATTCCCTTTCAGTATAGAAAGGTGAGGGGATGGGAAAGCTCTTGTTTGAACTGGCAACATAACCAATAAAACCCAGGCACCTCAGCTTCCATTGTTTGTAATGCAAGTGTTATGGTGAGTGGCTTTAACAATCAAGAAAAACTGACCTCCCCCCCTTCTTTCCTGAACTTGAGCCCTTGTTAAGACTAGTGAAAAGTCAAAGAACCAGGTCAATATTCTGACTGGATGGGGTCTATGGGCTGATCTCATAAGAGGATGGTCCCAGACTGTGGAGGAAAGGAACAATCTTGAGATATTGTTCAAAGTTCACTGAGGCCAGATTCCCAGAAGGTGTGAGTAGGCTAGGACAAAAAGATCAGCAAAATCAACCACACAGCAGTAGGAGTATAGTTAAATGACATAGAAAAAGGTTAATGATTTGGCAGAAAAAAAAAAAAACTTTCATAAAAGACAGGCCAGGAACTACTACTAAAGAGAAAGTGCTCTTGTTAATACGCTTCCTTAGGGAAGAGGAAACTAGGACAGATGGGGCAATCGTTACCATCCTAAATAACTCATTATTATCTAAAGCTCTCCTAATTATACCTTCTGTCCTATTTTTACAAAAGAGAGAGGAGAAACACTGGCACAGGAATACACTCATCAACCCTTGCAAGACAGGTGATCATGGAAAAATCTTCCTGAAGAAGCTTCAATATGTCCAAGGCTATCCTTGCTACAGACCATATGAAAAAGAACATTTCTGGCCCCTACAGAGGGACCACTCATCTGGTGTTTAATTATACAGGATCAGTGGAAACAGCCCTGGACTCGGGTTCACAAAACTGGGCTATGATTTTGGCTCTATTATTAGCCAGCTATGTAGACCCGGTCAAGACCTTACCTGGGTCTTAATTCCTTTCATCTATTAGCAGGCTAGAAACTAATCACAAGGCGTCTTTAGAGTCTTCCCAACACTAATGTTTTATTAGTATAGGCAAAACTTACAGAAAAGTTGGGAAGTAATAAAAGGAAACTGGGCTTAGAAGCGCATACCTGTAATTCCAGCACTCGGGAGGCTGAGGCAGGAGGATTGCTCTGAATTTGAGGCCAGCCTGGGCTACATAGTGAGTTCAAGGCCAAACTGAACTACATAGTGAGACCATATCTCAAAAAAGCACAATAAATGAGACAGACAGAATTTCTTTTTTCCCTTGACTTGTATCTTAGTGAGCAAATGGCCTATGTATAAAATAAGGCTATAATTCAGCCATGGAGATACAGTTGAGTCATTAAAACCACAAGCTGACTCAATCATGGGCCTGAAATAGTAGCTGTAATACAATCACATGGATTCTTCTCCTTGACACTCAACCCATTGTTCTACCACCCTCGGCAGGTCATAGCAGTTTACATGTTGCTTTTAATGAACCAGCCCTGATAGTAACTCTCCTCTTCCAGCTCTTCAATGGGTCTTTGTATACTGGTCATTCCCTCATGTCTCTGAAGACCGGAAGATTTGAACATTCCTTTAAATTCTAAGGAAAAGGCTAGCATCTTTGAATAGGGGCAGCTGCCTTGTTGGGAATGAGGAGGACCATGAGGCAGATATGCTTCACAGTACTGTTTCTTTGGCTCTTAGCAATCACCCAGGAGGAACAGTCACTGATAGCCAACCAAGGGGTAGAAGAGCAGAGTCCGGCAGCCCCAGAGGGAACCTGAAACCCCTGAAGCCTTTGTATTCTGAGAATGGGGCCTTCTATCTCCAGTCTCTTCTCTTTGTAATCCTACTATCTCTATAGGATTATAAAGTAAAAATACTATTTAGGGACCTTAAGAGACCCTTCTAGATGAATTCTCACTTTATATATAAAGAAACTAAGTCTCAGAAACATTAAATGATTTATCTAAGGTAACATGACAGTACCAAATGGATGCTGATCTGATTCTGGGTCTTCTGATCTCATTTTAGTCCTATATCCTTTGTTCACTACTTTGATGCCTAACCTTCCTTCTGTTTAAGTTTGCATGATGTGACAGTACCAAAGTCTATAAAAAGTGTGACACAGTGACTGGAAATGTTTCCCCTGACTCTCCCAAATATGTTCAGGAGTGCTTAGTAAACCCAGAGCCCAGAAAGATAAAGTGGAGTTTTTTAGGTTTTTTTTTTTTGGTACTGGGGATCGAACTCGGGACCTTGCACTTGCGAAGCAGGTGGCAGAACCACTGAGCTAAATCCCCGGCCCAAGGTGGAGTTTTTTAAAACTACATAACTCTTGTTTTCACCTTCTTTTCATTTCAATATCTCCTAATAGCAAGTCTCCTACTATTCCCTCTGCACTGGGAGATAGTACTTTTGATTATTGGGTCTTCTGCTAAAACATTAGGTTCTGACAAAATCCCTCTTCCTCTGCCTTTAAGTCCTGTTTTCCTACTTGGAAAGAAGTAGAGACTGGGGCCTCCCCAGCAGAGGGAAGTCACTGCTGTCTGGCTGCCTTTGTACAGGAAGCATCTGGGATTCTAGTATAGTTCCACAGGAAGAGGCTTAAAAGGGAATTCCCCATCAGTCTGATGAAGGCTGGCATTTATCCGAGGAGGTTGTGGAAGACAATAAGTGAAATGCAAGGTATTTTTGTCAGAATTAATACTGAATGTAAAGTCACAACCTTATATAGTAGGTAGCGAACAATGCTGTGAGAACCTCTAAGATCAAATACAAAGTAGTATTACTAGCTGTACTTTTACCCAAGTGCCTATCAATAAGACTAAACGCTCTAATCCAGAGAGTTACACCCTTCCCACCTATCTCTTCTTCCCATTAGAGAGCCTGTACTTAAGGATCCCATAACTCCCTTAGCAGCAGAAACCTTTTAATGATGTCTCACCCTTCAACTTGGGAAAGCCATTACTCTAGCCCCAAAGGGCTCACTAGACATGATGGTTCAGTCAACTCCTAATGAGAGGCATGTTGGCTACACTTTCATTTGAACAGTCTCTTGGTCACTACATGCTTCCCTCAAGGGAAACTTATTCATCAGTCCTTCTCCACTCTAATGACCGGATCATTTGTCCTTCTAACTCCACGATTCTTTTTAGAGGCTCTGGCTCAGTGTAATTCACTTAAATCTTCTGCAAGTTGGGAAAGGATGTTGTAAGGAATTTGGGGAGGGCAAGAAAAGTAAAGGGTAACTGCACACAAGGAAAAGGCAATGCTCGAGCACAATGCAATTCTTCAGCTGACATGCCCCTCTCTATTCTTTTTTATTTTTTTGGTACTGGAGATGGAACTCGGGTCCTTGCGCTTGTAAGGCAGGGGGCAGAACCACTGAGCTAAATCCCCGGCCCCCCCCCTTCTTACATCTGAGGGCCATGACACCTCATGTTCTCTATGTCTTCTGCTTATGAAATTGCGAGTAAGGACTCTTATTTTTCAATCTATATCTAATAATACAGTTGTGTGTTAAGGACAATTATTTTTCATGTACACAAATGCCCAATCAAAACCTCATGTCTGGCAACATGGTTCCCTTGTTCTAAATTTCTGCTTTGCAAATGCAAGAAAAGAAGAGTCAAATATAATTGATCTGTTGTCAGTCCCTCAAACTGGTTTTCCAAGGCAGTACTTCCTAATGTGGGAAGAGGAACAGGTAACTCACTCTTGATGCAGGGGATGTAGAAGTTTCTTGCTGCTCAACACTAGCAGGACCAGAGTAGAGAAGCCTCAACTCTTTAGTTCCCTGGATGGACTCCATTTGTTGTTTACTTACCCTGACGGGGTCCTCTCTTCCGTCGGAATGCTGCTCCTGACTGCAGAGCTTCCAGAAGACTGTCCATCACCCCTGTCTCATCTCCCTCTGTCACGAACAAAGACAGAGATGGAAACTGTTTAGCCAGAACAGCACAGCAAATGTCAAACTCCATGAAATGCACAGCTGTTGCTTGGATTCTCCATACAGTGGCTGACAGATCAGAACAGACAAGGAAGGCTCAACTTCAGGTCTTACAGGTCCGCTTAGTTGTGTCTGTTCAAAAGTGGCCAAAACAAAAATTTCCTTGCCTACTATTCAGAGCAAACCCTGGGATTATCTCCCTACAGTGCTGTCCTCCTTGCACCTACCAGGACTAGCACACAGAATTACAGAACTCCCCAACTCCAAGACCAGGATAAGTGCCAAGATGGCAATTTTACTTTATTTTATTTTATTTTTTTAAACGAGAGGTCTCGCTCTGTAGTTCAGGTTGGCCCTGAACTCACTATGCAGCCCAGGCTGGCCTCAAACTTGTGGCAATCCTCCTGCCTCAGCCTCCCCCAAATGCTGGGATTACAGATGTGCACCACCATGCCTGACTGGCAACTGTAAAATTAATACACAACCCTACCACTCCCTTTTTATCCTAAAGTGTTTTACTGCAAAGTGCTTTTTCATAAACATCTCATGCAGAGCCTGGTTCAGGTTTCAGAGCATGGCTAAGAGAAGAAAAAGCACAGATCAAGAATGCATTGTAAGACAGAAGGAGGAAGAAAAGAAGTGAAGAAGGGCAAGTAAGAATAATTAAGATGCTATCTGTACATGTACCATCTCCCCAGGACAAATGTATATATTATACATTGCAAACATGCACTAATTAAAAGAAAATAAGAGTGCATTTCAGCTGGGTGCAATGGCACACATCTGTAACCCCAGTGCTCTGGGAAGCTGAGGCAGGAGAACTGCAAGTTGCAGCCAAGCCTGGGCAGCTTAGGGACTTAGTGAGACTGTCTCAAATTTAATGGGGGGCGGGGGGGATAGCTCAGTGCAAAGGCCTTGGGTTCAATCCCCAGTAAGACCACCACCACAAAAAAAACACCTCACTTAAGTGCTGCCTCCAGTGGGCTCAGCTCTATCTTAAAGCAGCAGCCTGGCTGGAATATAAAGAGTTAACAAAGAATCCTTATTCCAGCCTGGCTCAGTTTCCATGGCAACAGCTCAGGATAGTGAAATCTGAAACCGTGAAACCCTAAGGAGCCAGTTGGCTGCCAGCTCCAAAGCTGGGGCTCATTGATCCCAGCGCCACCTGCTGTCTGAACATCACTAGTGCAGTTGACCTATATTCCAACCTCATTTGCTAGACCCAGGTACTGGGAACAGGGCAAGGCCCACTACGCCATCTGTTGACTGGGTGCAGTTCCCATCCCATTTGACAATTGGATTTCACTGACTCCCACTGCCTCTTAGCCAGTTCCTAGAATAAAAAACCCTGGAGGCCCAGGGAGAATGGGGAAGAAGGTGAAGGATACTCGGTGTAGCCCTTCAATAGCATTACTGGAACAGTTTCTGGTTCATATAAAGGCAAAAGAATTGCTTTCCAGAAAAGTATAAAGAAAAGTCCCTGGGAGCAAGAGGTATTAATTAGAATAGCTCTTGCTGCTTTTTAATTATGCTGGTGCTCAGCATTCTGATTCTTAACAGACTCAACAGCTCTGAAGACCCCTTCACTTGCCAAAGGTTCATGGCCCCTCAGGTTCAGCTCAGTACCACGAGCAACACATGCTGTATTGCTGCATTTCCACCGCCCAAGGTTGGGGGTGGAGTGGGCAGGGAAAGAAGCAGACACAAGAAACAGAGGCCCAGTAATTGGGACCACATGTTTTAACAAAGACATGCTTCTGATAGTGAAAGAGAGATTCTGCCTAAGAAAGAGGCTGGCCAGCCTCCTGGCCCTGTCTGAAGTTTAATTCATTTATGATCTCATAGGTGTGTACAACTGTGCTAAGGTACCAGAGATGTGGTACTCAGTGAAAGAAGCAGAAAAGGAGGACAAGCCACCTTGGCAGCAGAGTTAGGAAAACATTTTGATGAAAAACCCAAAAGATTTAGTGGAGAGGATGAGAACAGGCCAGAGGAAGAAGCTCTGGACAGGCAGAAGGAAAGAATATGTTACCAGCAATACTAAAATCACTGGGGAGAGACATACTGCAAGAACTAGCAAAGGGCAGAAAAAGGTCTCAGCACGGAAAATTGGAATATGCACATAACTAAAGTGGGGTTAAAGTCCAGCATCAGGATCTTGGAGGTAGAAGGCTGCCAAAAATCATTTGCCAAGAGTTAAGCTCAGACCCGAGCTCTTCTTTGTGGCCTCTGGATTCTACTCAAAGAAGCCTTCCATGTGTTCCTGTCTCAACCCACCAGTCCTTCTCCTGCACTTACTTACCTGCATTCATGTCTATGAGTTGCTCTCTCTTCTGCTGCTTCTCCAGCCGTTCTTTCTCTGCTTTCTCCTTGGCTAGTTTTGCTCGCCGCATCTTTTCTTCTGTCTCCCGTCGCTTCTGGTTCTCCTTGACTGCTTGCTAGGGTGAGGAAGGAGAACATGTGTACACCCACCACCAACAAACAAGACCCCTGTGGAGAGTCAGCAAGTAGCCCTTGCTCACCAAAAACATATTCCTAAAGTTGTGCAGATCCATGAAGAATTCTTCCACAGATAACTTCTTGGGGTCAAAGAGGAAGTACTCGCCCAGCTCCTTATAGAGAGTCTCCATGTTTGAGTGCATCATCCGCAGCTTGTTATACTGTTCCTGTGCATCCTTCACAAAGCTGTGCAGCTAAGGAGTGAAGGAATAAGACACACTTCCCTTGCCCAGAGAATTACTCAAAGATGCATACGGGCATGCATGATGATCTTCAACACAGCACTATGCATTGCAGCAAAGAACAGAGGCAGTTAAGTATCAAAAGAGGGGAATGATGGGCTGGAGATGTAGCTCAGTGGTGCTGCGCCTCCCTGGCAAGCACAAGGTCCTGAGTTCGATCTCTGGTACAAAAGCCAAATAAATAAATAAATAAATACATAAATACATAAATAAAGGTCTGGGGATATAGCTTAGTGGTAGAACACTTCCCTAATATACTTGAGGCCTTGGGTTCAATCCCCAGCTCCACAAAAGAGCAGAATGGTGAACAACAAACTGGTACACCAACAGAATAGGAGACAGCAATTCAAAAAGATGCTGATCAGTGCATATATGATGGAAACATGGCTAAGGCATTTTGTGCAAAAACCAATATAGATTTTGTTTAAAATAAATTCATTAGGTATAAATCAGAAAGAAGTCTAATGGCAGTGGTTACTTTCGCAAAAGGTCAGAGAGAATGATGTGTGTGTAATGGCAATAGTGACCGGGAAGGGAAATGATGAAGGCTTTTAGTTTATCTGCATGGCTGGCTTTCACGTCTACAACAATGAGAGTGCTTTCAAAGAGAATGTGTTCGATGGAAAAAAACCGTCTGAAGAAGAGATAGACTCGATATTGCCACATCTATCCTGTTATTCCCTTAGGGGAAGTTTTTCTTTCCTTCCTAAGAAGCAACTCCCTCCTTTAAAGAAAGGATATAGTCATTTTTTCAACAAACTTGTCTTTTTCATCTGTGGCTGCAGGAAAATTCTGAACATCACGTTCCACATCAGAAATCTGTTTCTTCATCTGATCTAGGTTCTTTTGCAAGTTTTCAGCAGAAACTACAGGAAACACAAAAACAGACAGCAAGAGCTTAACAGCAATTCTAGCCTCAAGACCCCCTAGCTTACTCTTCATTCTGTATATATATTCTGGTACTTAACCATTTTAGTACTCTCATGTACTGTCCTCTAATAATTTTACTTCTTTCAGTTTTCATTTTTGCAGCAGAACGATAATTATTTGATAACTGAACTTCCAGCCTCCATAATACTAAGAACAGAAGACAGAGTTCATTTAATCTAAAACAATCTGTCAAATCCCCTGAGACCTTGGTCTCATTTATTTTAGAGGACAGTGTTTTAGAGGAAAGAGACACATGGAATTATAGAGGCAAGGCAGAAATCTGTCCTATTTCTACCGAATGCTTTGCCTAATTCCAGGATATCCAGAACTGATGTTTGTTAATCCAGTCTGTGCTTTTCTGAATCACAAAAAATATGGACTGAAAACACCTGCTTTTCCAGTTGTTTTTTGGTGTCTGTGTCTCTCTAGGAAGGGAAAGATTGCTTCCATTTCTACACACAGAGACCTCTTTTTAGCCTTACTTCTTCCCCTTTGGCTTAGAAATAATGACTAAACTCTTCCTACTTACAGAGTCTGAATGGAAAATGATTTAAAATCTAGACTGTCGGTGATGCACACCAGCACTTGGGAGGCTAAAGCAGGAGGTGTGCCATGAGTTTGAGGCCAGTCTGAGCTACATAGTGAGTTCAAGGTCAGCCTGAACTATATAGTGAGACCCTGTCTCAAAAAACAAAAACAACAACAAAAAAATCTAGACTGTGTCTTCTTATTTCTGAAAGTTTAGGGGCTCAGAACCACCTTCACTCTTTGCCCCGACCTGCCTCACCTCGACTGGCTTTCTCCACATGGGCAAGCTCATCTGGAAACTTGAGGACATCAGGATAGTCATTCTCACATAACTCAGCCAAGAAGTGCAACAATGTCATCTTCTGATCTGTGGACTTGGTGTCTCGAAGCTTGGGGCAAGAGGAGAAATCATTAGTCCTGACCTGTCCAAGACTGCCTCAGGCCCACACCGGGCTCACAGAGGGCTGAGGGCCTTCCCTTCAGTTGTCCTGCTCTATTCCCATTCCTCACCTTACAGAGGAAGCTGATATTGAAGCCAAAAGCACCAGCATTCCTGGAGCCAGCATTCATATAGTTTCCAACAAGGAGGGTAATTTCTAGGAGCCTGGAGAAGCCCTCGCTCTTGTGCAGCTCCTCACAAGCGGCAGTAACAGACACAATCTCTGGCTTGATATTCTCCACTTGCTCGCTGAATTGTAGCTTGAAGAGGATGGCATTAAGGCGAGGTCGCAGACGGGGCACTGTGCCCATCTAGTGGGGAAGACAAGCAGGTCCATTACAGCTAGTAGAAAGAACTCAGAAAGGGCCAGGGATTTAGCTCAGTGGCACACCTGCCTTGAAAGTGCAAGGCCCTGAGTTCGATCCTCAGTACCAAAACAAAACAACAACAAAAAGAAGTCAGAAAAAGATACAGGCTTGAGTCTCCTCTGGCAGGATCAGAGTTTCAGGGCAGGGGGAAGAAAAAACAGAGAAAGAGAAGGGCAATGGAATTTCTATCAACAGATAAAAAGAAAGCATGGTATTTATACACAATGGAGTACTAGTTTGTTATAAAGAAGTCTAAACCGAAGCCATTCGTAGGAAAATGGATGCACCTTGAGACTATAATGTTACATGAAATAAATCAGACAAGCTTAAATATTGCATGATTTCTGTTATATGAGAAACCCAGAATATAAATAAAAGAGCAAAATAAAAGACTGATAATAGGGAACAAGGAGATAGATCTTTTGCAAATAGCAAGGAGACCAAGAGATGGAGGGAGGGGAGAGGAAGGGAATGTAAAAAGAATTAGATGTGTTAGTACATGTACTAACTCCCCACAAAGAAGGTAATCATTATGTACTGCAAACATGTACTAATAAAAAGAGAAAGAAAGGTTCAAAACAGACAAGTGGCAAGGAGCAAGTGTCCAGACTGGTCTCTAGAGAGAAAGGGGACAAGGGAGGCAGAGAAGAGCAGAGTGTCACAGGTCGTACTCACCACCACGCCAAACTGCTCTGACTCCGCCAGGTCATCGTACTCATCCTTCAGTTCAGAGAGCATTTTTAACTGCTCTGGTTCTGGCATCTGTTTAATGAGGTTCTGAAAGGGAGAAAAGGTCTCTGTGGGTGAGGGGAGGATGAGCTGACAACTCATCTAAGCCACTTTTACTCTCTTATCAGTTCCACATTCTGCCAAGGACTGCCTCAAAGGAAACATGGACAATGGTAAGGTGGGGGAACAGCCAATAAGATGGCAGGACATTTGAGAAATATGCTCAAATCATCTGACCACCAGAGAAATGGCAGTTTCTCTGAAGCTAGTGTTTTAAGTCAGCAAGGCTAGAGCAGAGTCCTCCTCATCTAAGGAGGGAGGAGGAGAGGCCAGTGTGTAGCTATGAAGGAAAGACAGCCAGCTCCTGCAGGCCAACCCTTTTCCTTACCTGGATCATAGACTCGGTCAGTACAGCTTCATTCACCTCCAGGATGACATTCTTAATCTCTTGATAGGGCATGCGGAAGGAACCCAAAAAGATTGCTGCCAGAAGAGGTAAGACATGTTCTTCTCAGTCTCTTTCCCCTTGCCAACCCATCCTACAAGCCTATGCTGGATAATCTTCCCAAGAAAGTGCTTTGAAGGTCATTCTGCCTATATAGTTAAAACCCAAGCTCCAAACCTAGCATTTAAGCTTCCTCAACCCTACATTTATGTCACATACCAGCCACACTGTTCCATGCACCACATTCCACAAATAACACAATTCCCTGCCTTTGCTCACACAGGAAGTCTTTGATCTTCTCTATGTACAGACTTTCACCCCACTCTGTTTTAGTTTCCCACTCCCAAGACTCCACCCTCAAAGCTGCCACTGCCTTGACCTTCCCCCTCTCTCCTTTTTTTTCTTTTGTGTTGCTGGGAATTGAACCCAGGTCCTCATGCGTGCTACACAAGGGCTTTACCACTGAGCTATATCTCAGCAACACCTTTTTTTGAGATTATGGTCTTGCTAAATTGCCCAGGCTGGTCCTGAACTTGTCATCCTCCTACCTCAGCCTCCCAAATCGCTGGGATTACAGGTATGTGCCACCATGCCTGGCTGACCTGTTCCGATTCTCTTTTTTTGGTGCCGGTTGGTACCAGGGATCGAACTTGGGACCTTGTGCTTGTGAGGCAGGTGCCGGAACCACTGAGCTAAATCCCTGGCCATCCTGTTCCGATTCTTAAACTGACATGACCCATTTCCTAACATATCCTTATCCTTCAAGTTCTCTTATTTTCTAATCTCTAGCTGATTCTTCAATCTTATCAGGAACTTTCTTCAGTCTCCTGACCATTCCATTTTCTGTGTGTCAGTTCCATCCAGCTTTCTCTATCTGGTAGAGACCCGACAGCCTATCACTTCCCTTGCTCTTTATTACTCTCTTTACTGTCACTACTGCCACTACTATTATTCTCTTGCTGCCTGCTCCTTCCAGTTGTGGCTAATCCAATATTTAATTTCTCTGCTCTTACACTGGGCTGACGCAGATCAGTCTATGCATTTGCAGCAACACCAATGGTAGCTGGGGCTTTGGCTACTTAGCAATCCCTTTCTGTGTTTCCCTAATTCCATTCTCTCCCATCTATCTTGGTAGCTCCTCCAAAATATAGCCATTATTCCAACTGTCCCACCACTTTCTTTGTTTTAAGACCTTACTCCTTCCCTGAGAAAAACTAAAGACACTATCAAATTATTTCTCTTCTGCCACTTAAAAACTGAGCATTGGACACCCTTGGCTATAGCCTAGAAAGGGTTTAGGAAGGACTACTTTGGAATTTCCTAAAAGAAAAGTATCTCCACACTCCTGTAAGCTTATCAGTATGTACTCATACACATGTGTGTATAAGTGTATGTATGTGATTATATAGATACATACATCTATCTATCTTCATGTACTCATCTCTTCATGTTTCAACATAAAAGGTGGTTCTAATGACCTTTCCTTAAGCATCTACACATAGTGAAGTCTTTTATCCTGAAACAAGCCAAGCATGATAGCACACACCTATAATTCCAGCACTGTGCAGGCTAGTGTGAGAGGATTGAAAGTTCAAACCAAGCGCCTAAGCAGCTTAGTGACTTAGCAAGACCCTGTGTCAAAATTAAAAGGCTGGGGATACAGCTCAGTATAGAGGCCCTGGGTTCAAGGTCCAGTACCACAGACTTTTTAAAAACAAAACCTTCTTAACCCAATGTTCCCCTCTCTCCTTACCTCTTTCATTTCGTAGCATTCTGAAAACAGTCTATTTTCTCTCACTTTCACAATTTTCATTTATTGTTTCCCCACAAAACCAATGAAAATATGGCATCCTCTGAGTGAATGTGCTGTCTCTTAAGATTCCACCCTGCCACTTCTCATTCGCTGCCACCACACCTCCCTAAAAAGGAGAATCTGTTCTTGGAGCAGTTGCCTATTTCACTAAATAGTACCACTTTCCATACGGTGATCTAAACTCAGTAAACATCTCCTTTATCCCCGCAGTCAATCAATAATTTTGTCTTCTTACTCTTCTGTGCCTTCCTTTTCATTCTCAGTATTTTGACTTCAGGCCTTGATCACCTCTCAAAGCAGTAACATAACTCATGTTTAAAAGTAACATAACTCATGTCTCTGCCTAGTCTTCCTTTACTAAGCACCCAGTGTGAAAACCACTAAGAAGATACAGGGCTGTAACACTTATTTTCCTAATTAAAATCCTTCAATAATTTTTATGGCTTCACTCAGCTTCCTTCAACTACTTGCAATTCTTGAACTACACAATGCTATCTCAGCCTTGAGCCTTCATATGGGCTGATCTCTCTCCTGAAACAAGCCAGTCCTCGCCCTTCATTTAATTCCTCTTAACAGTTCTTCCTAGTCAAGTTTAAGAAGTACTTCCATGAAAATGTTCTGTAGGATTTTCCCCTCTCCCCACTTGATTTGGATGCCCCCTTTCCTAGGACATTCATAAGCATTCCAGCATGCCTCGGGTCACAACACTTAATCAATCTGTGTTTTTGTTGTTATTTGCCTGTATCTCCATCAAACACATGGCTGAAGAGGGCAAGGATCATGTCTGACTCAACTTCGTATCCAAAACACTTATGAGGCACTTAATCATTGTTGACTCACCAAGTTTCATCGTCCAGGCCACCTTACTATAAAAACTAATCTCAATTCTCTCTCTCTCTTTTTTTTTTTGTACCAGGGATTGAACTTAGGACCTTGCGCTTGCAAGGAAAGCATGGTGTCACTGAGCTAAATCCCCGGCCCTCAACTATCTTTAATTCTTTTTTCATTATCAATATCACTCCATTAGGAATAATAACGTACTACATCACAGTCTTGCTTACTGCTTTCTTTATATCACTGATTTCACTAATGGGTATGTATACTTATACTTGTGTCCTTGGCAAAATCACAACATTTGAACTTTAGTTTTCTCATTTGGAAAAGTAAAGACAGTAACGACATCCCAATATTCTGAGTGAGGCTTACAGAATATGTATCTTTTCATCTCTAGAATACATGCTTAGTATGTGCCTACTAGGCCTTGCCACATAGCAGACCATCAAATATTCACTGAACAGAAATTTATATTTATATTACTCAGAATAAAGTGGATCGACAGTTGAAATGAAGAACAAAAATTAACATTCATCTTGACCATCAGTTAAGTGTTACCTATATCAAATTTGCAGAGGAATTTCTGATCCAACTCAGAGTGCAAGATTTACCTCATTTACTCTAAATTAATTTTAGATTTAATTGAAGCCAAAATAATACTTGCATTAGTTACCAGAAAATGAGATAGAAATGTATTGAGGCTTGAGCACTTTTCTGTAGATGCAATGAAAAAAGCAAAGGCTTTGAAATAAGAAAGTCCGACTTTCAAATCCCTCTCCTGGTCTCCTAGTAGCTTTATTTCTAGAGAAATTCCTAAAAGTCTTAGCCCGTTTCCTTGGCATAAAACTAGATACTTAACAATCCTGTAGTGCAACCAAAGGGATTAAACACAATACTAGAAATTCACTATCCAGTGCCTGATACAGAGCAAGAGTTCAACAAATGGAAGCTAGAATCCACAGAATTAAATTCTTAAGAAGAATTTCTTCACATTTCAAATAGTTGGGATTACAGAGTTACTCACATAGATTCTGGGCAGTCTTTGAATCCAACACCTTTAATTCTTTTACTTTTTTCTTTTGTACAGATTTCTTTTCTTCTCCACCTTCCTGATCCTTCTTGGCTAGTGAAGGAAAGATTAGAAAAACATGAGTAAGGATAAGCCACCTATTCCTTATTGAACTAATATTATTCAGCCTGGAAATGGGCCTTCACCTTCTCTCTAATATAATGGTCTCCCCGTTGTATTCTTTCAAGGCTAACTTCTCTTTTTTTTTTGGTACCAGGGATCGAACTCGGGTCCTTGTGCTTGCACAACAGGTGGCGAAACCACTGAGCTAAATCCCTGGCCCAAGGCTAACTTCTCTTTAGCCACATTTCTATTGTTGATCACTCTCCACTATAATAAATGTCATTTAAATATTTTTAACAGTTTATCAGTAATTGTTTCCTACCTATAGCCTATCTACTTGCAAGGATCAGCAACTATTTAAAACTATTCACAAAAACAGCCTGTGAAGAATAGCTTGCCAACCCCTGTACTTTCCCTATAAATTTTTTCTTCATTTCTCCAATCACCTAATTCTTCTCCTAACTCCTGCTTAATATGATGCTTCTTTATAGCACTTCCGCTCCCTGACATTATATAATGTTCTCTTCTCTACAAACAAGGGCTTTTTCAGCTTTGTAAATCCCATAGCATAAAAATGTATTCCTAGTATCATGTTGAACATACAGAAGGTATAATACATTCCTCTCCTTCTACACTCTTCTTAAGCTCTCCAAAGCCAACAGTTACCCTTTTACATAAAATTTTTCCTGATAAATGTACTTACTTTCTACTTTGATAATCTTCATGGTATTTGTTGTCCATACCAACAATTATATAGCACTTCATATACATCATTTTGATCTTTTTAAAGCAGTGTTACTTTCTAAGTATGGACACTTTCTCATCCCACCTAGATTTTACAATTCAAGGCCACGGGCAAAATAGTATTATTTTATTATATCACTCCCTCAGCTGTTAACATAACAGGAAATATTCACTAAAAAGAGTTATACTGGCTCTTGAGGAGAGTTGAGCAATACACAGAAAAGGAAATGGGAACTGTTCTGGACAGATACAAGTATAAAATACTTTATCCTATATTTTAATTTGGTATCAACTTTTTAGGAAGCCATATGGGAATAGTTCTGAAGGGAAAATTTAAAAACTGACAAAGCTCACTGCATCTGAGAAAGGAATGGGATTTTTTTTTTTTTTTTTTTTTTTGGTACTGAGAATCAAACTCCTATCCTTGCACTTGCAAGGCAGGTGGCGGCACCACTGAGCTAAATCCTTGGCTCAGGAATGGGGTATTTGACAGCGGAAGGAATACTTTCAAACACAAACACTTTTGTACCATATGAAAAGTACTGCCTCATTCAAACAAAACAAAACAACCTCCAGAAAGTCTCCAAAAAGTTACATGACAAAAGGTACAAAGAACTGGGGCCGGGGATTTAGCTTAGCAGTTCCAGCACCTGGCTTGCAAGCGCAAGGTCCCAAATTCGAACCCAGGTACAAAAAAAAGGTACAAAGAACTATAAAAAAATCATCCTTTTGGCCCAGGACCCTAATTTGAAGGAGAAAAATGTTAATATACATAAAGATTAGTTATTTAAATAAGTGCTTATTAAGTATTTGTATGTCCCAGGGTGCTCTGGGCGATGAAATAAAACAAGTGAAAAAATCCATAAACGAAGGAATCTGCCTTCTCACAAAGAGAAATAGACTAAACCATAAAGATATGTCAGATGACAAGTGCTATGAAAAAATCAAGTAGAGAGGAAAACGGGAATTCGATGGCAGAATGGATTACAACTTTGGGAAGTGGTCAAGGATGGTATTACTGAGATAACATTTGAGTGAAGAACTTTCAAAATGTGAAGGAGTAAGCCCCAGGCATGCATCACCATGCCTGGTCATCAATAATATTCAATAATATTGAAAAATGCAAAACGAGACTCAGTTTTATTTGCCTGCAATGAGATAAAAAGGTACAGACACAAGGAAGGAAGGAAGGAAGGAAGGAAGGAAGGAAGGAAGGAAGGAAGGAAGGAAGGAAACTCATTTTGCAAAAGATATGCCTACATGTAGCAATTCAATATAATCCAATGAAAAACTATGAGAGCCAATAATCCAGTAAATGCTGACAGATAAAAGGCAAACATGGACTTCCAGGTCCATTAAAATGGAGTACCCTCACAGAGACACGAAATACTTAAGACAATTCTATTTTAAAAGCAAGAAGCCAAACAGCCACAATCAGGGAAAAAACCCTCTCCATGACACATCATAGTCAAAATCCCAGAAATCCAACACAAATACAGAATTTTAAAAGTGGTTAGAGAAAAGCAATGAGTCACTTATAGAGGAAAATTCATTAAAATTACAGCAGACTTCTCAACACAAACCTTAAAAGCCAGGAAAGCTTGGAATGAAGTGTTTCAAATGCAAAAAAAACCAAAAAAAACAAAAAAAATCCAACCCGTGCTGACATATCCTGCAAAACTATCTTTCAAAATTGATGGGAAAAATAAGACACTTTCATGATAAAAAGCACCTTAAGAAAATCATGATCACCAAACTAGTACTTCAAAGAATTCTCAAGAATACCCTAGGAGGAGACAATGAAGCTAACAATGTCATAAAGTCTAATAAAATGAATATGCAAAGTAGAACAATGACATAAAGTCAAACAGAATGAATATACCAGGTAGGGCAAGCAGTTAAGTAGAAGAAAGATAGGGAATCAGCAACAGAAAAATAAGGCAATGTCAGGAATACTTAGCAGTAATAACTCCTAATGTGAATAGTCTCAATTTCCTAATCAAAAGCAGACTGGCACAATGGCTCAGGAAACAGAATCCAACAGTATGCTGTATTCAAGAAACATATTAAACCCCAAAAGAAACTCACAGTCTGAAAATCAAAGGATGAAAAACAATATTCCATGCAATAGAAACAAAAACAAACAAAAAAGAAGAAATAGCTATCCTATATTCAGACAAAGCGGACCTCAAGCCAAAATGATCAAAAGAGGCAAAGAAAGTCATTACAATATTGGTTAAGGGAACAATCCAACAGGAAGAGATAACAATTATTAACATATATGCACTGAACAACAGCACACCCAACTTCATATTCATAAAACAAGTACTACAAGATACATAAATAGAATTATAGTGGGGGATCTCAATACCCCATGATCACAAATAGATCAACTAGACAAAAAAAAAAATCACCAAAGAAATATCAAACACAACCTTTAAACAAACTTAATAGATATAGCTACAGTATTCCACAACAACAGAATACACTTTCTTTTCAGAAGCCCATGGAACTTTCTCCAAAATAAAACATATACTAGCCAATAAAGCAAGGTTAAGTAAATATAAGAGAACTGAAATTATACCATACATATTACCAGATAATAGTACAACCAAGAAATTAACAATAAAACACAGAAAATGTGCAAGTACATAGAAGCTGAACAATATATTCTTAGATAAACAACGGGTTACAGAAGAATCCAGGAAGAAATAAGACAGTTTCTAGAACTAAACGATAATGCCAATACAACATACCAGAACTTATGGGGCACAATGAAAGCAGTCCTAAGAAGGAAGTTTATAGCTGTGAATGCCCACATCACAAAAACAGAGTTACCCAAATAACTTAATGATGCACTTTAAGGTCCTAGAAAACAAGAACAGTCCAAACCCAAAGCTAGTACAAGGAAAGAAATTACAAAGATCAGAGTAGAAGGGCCAGGGATTTAGCTCAGTGGCACCGAGCCTGCCTTGCAAGTGCAAGGTCCTGAGTTCAATCCCCAGTATTCCCCCCCCTCATCCCCCAAAAAAGATCAGAGTAGAAATCAATGAAATTGAGATGAAAAACCAAAAAAACCAAACCAAAACAAAGAAGGCTCAAGGAATTCATGAATCAAACAGCTGTTCCTTTGGAAGAATAAACAAAGTAGATAAATAGTCAATCTAATAACAACAACAAAAAAACCCCAAATCAATGCAATTTTAAATGAAAAAGATGAAATCACAAGGGACACTGCTGAAATAAAAAACATAATTACCTTGCAAATCTGTACACCAATAAATTGGAGAATTCAGAAGAAATGGATAGATTCCTAGATACTTATGAATTACCAAAACTAAACCAAAAAGATTTAAAAACCCTGAATAATCCAATAACAGTCAAAATAAGTTGAAGCAGTAATAAAAAAAACCTACCAAGGAAAGCCCAGGTCCAGACAAGTTTACTACTAAATTCTACAAAAGCTTCAGGGAAGTTCTAACACCAATGCTCCTTGAGGCCTCGCCAGAGCCCCCTCCCAAGCTTTTTAATGCAGTTCAAAGGAAGGAGTATTCCCAAAGTCATTCCTGGAAGCTACCATTATCCGGATTCCAAATGGAAGAATCCAACCAGAAAAGAGAACTATAGACCAATCTCTTTAATGAATACAGATGAAAAAGTCCTCCATAAGATACTGGCAAACAGAATGCAATGACTCATCAAAAAGATCATACATGATGACCAATTGGTCTTCATCCCTGGGATGTAAGGATGGTTCAACACATGCAAATCGATAAATGGAATACATAGCATAAACAGAGCCAAAAACAAAAATCACACGATCATCTCAATAGATGCAGAAAAAGTCTGACAAAATCCAATCTTCTTTCATGATAAAAACACTGAAGAAAATAGGTATAGAAGGATCTTATCTCAACCTGATAAAAGCCATTTATGACAAATTACTGGACATCATAATTAAATGGGGAAAAAACTGAAAGCCTTCCCTCTAAAATCAGGAATAAGACAAGTATGTCCCCTATTTCCTCTCCTGTTCAACATAGTTCTTGAAACATTAGCAAGAGTAATTAGGCAAGGAAAAGAAATTGAAGCGACACATATAGGAAAGGAAGAAGTCAAATTATTGTTATTTGCAGATGACAGGATCTCCTACATAAGAGAAACCAAAAAAACTCCAAAGATTCTTAGAATTAATAACCAAATTCAGTAATGTGGCAGAATAGAAAATCAACACACAAATGTGAATA